ACCGCAGGGAATCGAACCCCGTAACTCCAGTTTCCAAGACGCGCAGTGGTTAACGCAGACGCGTCCGTCACTACACTATCTGCACCCACGCTATGGGTACGCAACCGACAGACAGACGTCAATGCAGTATCACACATGAACCATTAGATGGAGCAGCCCGCAGCGACCAATCACGACAGCCATGTCCGCCCGCGTGTTGGATACATGATGTCCACCTACCACACGGGCCCCCGCGACACACGAAGCACCCGCGGACGCTCGCAACGCACCTGAGCAGCGGCCCCAACTGCAGGGTGAGGCAGACGATGCGCAGGACCCACTTCCACATGGGCACGGTGGGGCGGCAGGGGCGCGTCTCGGCGTCCGCCTCGTCCGGGCCCTGGTCCGCGTCGTTCAGGTACCTGAGCCGCGCGGTGTGACGTCACCACCGAAGTCAGAGCCGCTCGCCACCGCGTGCGGATGTTGAGTGACAGCAACGCCAGTGCATGGACATGCGTGGTCTACATATACTTTTTCATGGGTATGGTAACGATAGAAAACAACGTCTAGGTGCGCAACAGTGATAGAGCCCAGCTGCCAGACATCAGGCAAGCCAGCAGCAGCCCAGCTGTTAGATGGAGCTGGTATTGTTTACTGCTCCTGCCACGGGCCACACTGCAGGAAAGATGCAGCAGAAAAAAAACATCAATACTTTAATGTTCAAGACGGATTAACGTATGCTACACGACAAATTCATCAGCTATTACCATCAGAAGCAATGCACCGATCGATTCATCCCTTAGTACCAAACCTCTCAGTCCGTACAGAGGCTGCGCAACTCTCCTATTCCCCCAAGTAAAGTGGCATCTCCCTGCTCCGCTAGTCGTCCGAAAGAATCGATCACAGCCGTCAGCTGAGATAACCCGCTTACCACCGGAGGCTGAGGCCTGTCATGGTGAGCGCCGGCGCCAGAATAAACACCAGCGTCAGATGAGATAACCCGCTTACCACCGGAGGCTGAGGCCTGGCATGGTGAGCGCCGGCGCCAGAACGAACACCAGCGACAGCTGAGATAACCCGCTTACCAACGGAGGACGAAGCCCGTCATGGTGAGCGCCGGCGCCAGAACGAACACCAGCGTCAGCTGAGATAACCTGATCACCACCGGAGGATGAAGCCCGTCATGGTGAGCGCCGGCGCCAGAATAAACACCAGCGACAGCTGAGATAACCCGCTTACCACCGGAGGCTGAAGCCCGTCATGGTGAATGCTGGCGCCAGAATGAAGACCAGCGTCAGCACGAACTCGTAGAGCCGCTCATTCCGGTAGAAGTGCACGGCCAGCCAGATGTCCGTGCCCGTGTCTACCAGGAAACTGCCGATCGACAGCAACATCACCAAGAAGTCCTTGTAGGTGTACTGCATGCGCTGCGGCAGCGCGTCCACCTCGTCGGGCGCCAGCACCAGCTGCGTGGCCGCGCTGCGGCCGCCATCAGCCGTCACCACGCGCGTCGGCAGCACCTTGGTCTCGTCCGGCGCGCGCGTGGCGCCGTTGCTGAGGCCGCCGCGGCCCGTGTTGGCCATAGCAGTCGCTTGGGGACGCGCCTAGTGGGTGGGGACCAGCGGTCACGGAGCCGACTCATCCAGCCTGGTCCTGGTGAGGCTGGTGTCGGAGAGACCCTCGGTGGATGGTGTGTATGTGCAGGTGAGCACACCGTATGCTTGGTTCTGGAAGACAGGGAGAGTTTAGACATGATCAGCAGCTTAGCCATGATATTTCCAGTGTTCAAACCCCGGTTTGGCACAGCCAATGGGAAGATTCATAAACATCTGAAAACCACTGACAGACATGGCTGGTATGCCATAACTTTGATAGCTACAAATCTTGTGGAGCGTAAGTGCGCTGTATAGTATCTGGGTGGTTGCATATGAAAGGTTTGGCTGTTATTGCATCAGAACTTTCACCCCCATTTGTAAATTTCCTTGGCACACAAATGACTTGTCTGTCATTTGGTTCAAAATACATGGCATCAGGCAAAATTCCACTTTCAATATATTTACATTTACCATAAATTTCCCCTTGAGCTGAAGTGGAGAGCTGGTTGCCACCAACATCTCAGATATCACTATTTTCCTGTCATCCAAAATTAGCTCCTAGGTTAGCTCCATTAGTTCTTCATATCACATACAACATGGCTGGTGTCCTGTGAATTTAGCCTCCAACATGGATCAGAGCTCAAAAGCAAAACACACACAGGAAGCTAGATTTCTACTGTTTGTATTTACTTGAAGGTTATGAGGTCATTCATCTTTCATTTCTTGCAGAGGGCAAACAATTTCATAACATAAAATCTTTTTAGTAAGGACCAAGCCACTTTCACCTAATGAAAAAGCTATGTTATGGGTAGTTATAATTATTTCTAACACTCATTTTTATCCCTTTTATTTCCATACTGTTCATGATTTGTTTGCAAGGGTGCCAGGTGCACAGTGTCCAGAGGTACAGAGTTTGATTTCCTGTGGTGTCACCCTTCTTGTCCATGTGGGAGGCAGGTGATGTCATAAAGCCTCAGCTCCTACAGATGTCCAATACCCTTATGCCAATAGTAGTTTGTTTGCCTAGCTCTGGTTCTTAATATTAACAGTTTGCTTGCCTTATTAGTGATGGTGACAGGCATAGACATAGGAACTGGATGCTTCATGAATACCATGGCACCCAGCTTTCTGTGAATGCTGAGCATCAACCCTATGATGATGTGTGGAAGGAACCAGCTTCAAAATTGATGCTGGCATCCCACTCTCTCAGAAGTTCCTCCACCTGTAGTGATATGCGTCAGGAAATCACGAACACCCTAAATTTTGTAACCAAATCAGAATTAGGTATTTTGCACAAAAAACACACAAATGGGGAGCAGGGTGGCATTTCACAACCATCATATATTTTTCTAGAACCATGCAGCTGGTGGGATGAAAGTTTATTTGATACAGCTGTTTATGAGCACCAAACATGGCAGAACTAAATTGCCTTCTCCTTCTGGGCCCATATCTCCAGCTTATGCAATGTTGTAGCTTTGTGAGCAGTCTAGATATATGTGTATAAGCAGTACATCACAGCAAAATTCTGTGTTTATGACTTTCTTAGTTTGTTTATGACTTTTTCCAAGGCATTAAGTAAGGCAAACATACAGATGACATAAGACAAACACAGGCCTGAGACATCTGAGAGTAAAACATTGGCATGCTGCATGATGTAATCAATACACAATCCAATACAGTGAAAGTTTTTCATTATTTTTGTCATCCAAAGTTTCTTGTCGATGGTAGTTGTGGAAGTAGCCATATATCCAACATGTAATGTTTCATGTGTGGTTCGGCGTCTTGCGATGTGGTATGCACTTTTACTTTGAAGGTTCCAAATCCCTATCAGTAAAAATAATTGGTATCATTGGTCCATTTCAACTTGTCTCTTGGCTTGGTTGAAACTGAGCTCCCCCCCCCAACCCAGCATACTTTTTGGACACTCTGTTATCTCCTCGTTCCTTACTCCAGCACAATAGCCACGGTGTTGGCACAGGTGGCAATGGCAAGATATGCTTTCAAACCTCATACCCATCTCAAAGCCACAAGCTAAACTGCAACTGCACATAATCAGACCGCATTCCGGAAAAGACAGCAAACACCCAGGAGGTGAATCACATAAGGCACCACAACCTGCTACACATTTTCAAAATGCATCAATACGCCGGCACATTTACCTTTGATCAAGATGACTGAGCTACCAGATGGTGTTCTATGTGAGAAGGTACATATCAATCTTAAAAATGTGCAATCTACCAAATATATGTAACATAGCGCCCATCCGGCTGACAATACAATGGCTCAAATGACAATGTTAGACTCTGGGCACATGTGACGCGACACCGACAAGAAGTGCCAGACGTGTACGGGGGGAGGGGCACCGAACGAAAGCTGTTGAGACCGCCGGCCCGGAACGGGAAACGCAGAGGTCGAACGAAATAACACACACTGGCACCCATACACACGCAGACAAACGGATCAACAACAAACAGGAGACCCAGGCGTCTTAGCAGCGTGACTTTTTCCCGAAAGATAATTGATTCACTTCGGTCACGGTCAGGGGTGAAATTTCGGAACATGCCAGGATGGCTCAAGAGTGAGAAACGACGACACTGCAGCATTTCTCGTGAGCAAAAACGGGCTCCTCCCTATAAATGACTCACCTTCCAGAAAGTGTTCGAACCTAGCTAAAAAGGATTCTACATCCACGACTCTGACGCTTGATCTTGTGCAAAACTTCAAATGGTCCAGTAAACATTCCGCCACGTATCGCACACAACCCCGGCTCGAGCGACGCTCAGGCATCCCCAAGACCATCTGAAAAAACAGCATGGAAAACATGCCCAGCGAGCGATGCTTCCTTCAGCACGCAAATGGGCAGCCGGAGTGGGTTTCTCTGCTACGATGCTCACCACAAATAAACAACACAAATGACCTATCTCACTGTATTGCAGCCCTCAAGCCAACGAACAAACCGCACCATGTGGCTATCATGTGGTATTGTCCTGCGGGTCGCGTTGAGAGACATCCTACCATCAATCACCGTGAAAGTTGGTGGCACTTAATTTATGCTGTTGTTGCTAGAAAAAAGATAAGTCTCCGCGCCGATGGGCGTATTAACAGCGGCTTCACCTTCACATATGCCGGGTCCATACACAGTCAACAATCACATAATCCTGGAGTCCAATCATATCACAGGAAATATGCTATCTCAATCGCAATCACAGCCACTATAGACGCCTGCGTAACAGTCAAACCCTGTTTTTGAGCAGGGGCCACTTCGGGAGCACATAAAGAGGCAGACACAAGGCTAGCGAGTGCAGCTTTGAGGTTCACATTGCCTACATGTTCGTTACAGGCGCACGAGGCTGCGTGAACAACTCAAACAGCACTAGTAGCTCAACCCATATTGCACTGGTTTGATCATGCATGCTACTGGTTAAGCATTGGGCAACAGCCCCTTATGCTTCATAAGTGCCACACGACAAGTATGTGTTTCCCTGATAGCGACCTATGCGACACAGGAAGCGCCCCGTATCCAAAAAAGCGCACACAGCGACGACGCATGACCCCGTCTCCCCCCCCCCCCCCGATCTTACGACGACACGTTTGAGCATCCCGGACGCCTCTAAGCGTTGTCGGTGGTGGTCGCTGGCCTGCCGCGTCGACCTAGCTAGAGCAGCTGACGCGCAGTTCGCGCGCCCAGCCCGGCGGCGGGTCGGCGTAGCCGCCCTCCTCCGCCGCCGGCTGCTCGACGAACGGCCGCTCCAGCGCGGCGTGTAGGCGGCGCAGCTCGCCGAACTCGCCGCGCTCGGCGGCCTCGGCAGCGCGGTGCGCCAGCCAGTTGCGCAGCACATAGCGCGGGTTGGCGGCGCGCATGAGCTCGCGCCGCCGCGCGTCCGACACGTCCCGCGCCGCCAGCTCGGCGCGGTACGCCGCCAGCCAGTCTGCGAAGCCGGCGCCGGCGGTCAGCGGCTGCAGCGCCCAGAGCTCCGCCGGGGGCGCCGCCGCGGCGAGCTCGTCTAGCGTCACGTCGCCCAGCTGGCGGAACGTCATGGTGAAGTCGGCGCCGGCGGCCGCCATCAGCTCCAGCAGCTGGTCGCAGAGTGCGGTGGCCGCCGCCGACGGCTGCAGGCCCAGCTTGCGCGACAGCAGCTCCCGCCGCCGCTCCTCGTAGGCCTCCACGTACACCTCGAGCGCCGACTCGATCTCGCCATGCTCGCGCTCGGGCATGATCGGCATGAGCGCCTCCCACAGGCGACACAGGTTCCACTGGCCCACGCGCGCCTGGTGCGCGAACCGGTACGCGCCACCCGAGTCGGACGAGTTGGCCACAAACTGCGGGTCGTAGCGGTCGAGGAAGCCGAACGGGCCGTAGTCGATGGTCAGCCCGAGCACGCTCATGTTATCCGTGTTCATCACGCCGTGCGTGAAGCCGACGCTCGCCCACGCGGCCACAGTGCGCGCCGTGCGCCGGCCGATCTCGCGCGCCAGGGTGGCGTAGCGCGCGCCGTCGGCCGGCTCGGTCGCCGCCGCCGGGTAGTAGTGCTCAGCCACGAAGTCGGCAAGCAGGCGCAGCGGCGGCCCCGCGCCGTCGGCGGCCAGCATCTGCAGCGAGCCGAAGCGGAACCAGCAGGGCGCGAGGCGCAGCAGGACGGCGGCCGGCTCGCGCCGCGGCCGGCCGTCGTAGAACTGGTCGCGCAGCAGCTGCTCGTCGCTCACCACCAGCGTGCCGGCGCGAGAGGTCGGCACTCCTGCTGGGCAGGGCGGTGTCACATGGGAGTGGAAGGGAATGGTGGTGGGCAGGACAGCACACACAGTACAGGCTAATGAGGTGCCAGACAAGGTTGACGACGCACGATGATGAGACGTGAGATATGACAGAAGGTGCTGAAGAAGGTGCTGGCTGATCTAATGCCAGGTACACCTATGTCCACGAGCCTACGTTTCCTCTACAACTAGTGACTTGTGTCATGGTGCACTGGGCATATAAAATTATGAAATGAAATCAGAAATAATGATAAATAAAAAATAAATAAAAAACGAAATGACACATCTGAAGGATACTGGCGGAAATGTCATTGTGCTCGTCCACATTTTTTAACACAGCAATCCACCATCTGGGAGTAAGAGCTCAAATAACAAGTGAGGGCTTACTCATCATTACATAAATAGCTCGAGGATCACAATCTACAATGGAACAGATGCCAGAGAACAAACCAACACTTACCTAAGTGATGCATTGCCTCAGAGCAGAGGAACTCTCTGACTGAGGAGCGTACTACAGCGCGGCCGTCAGCGAACCTCGAGTACGGCGACTTGCCAGAGCCTTTGAGCTGGAGCTCCCACCTATGGCCAGCTCTGTAAACATGCCAGCATGAGTCTGACAATGATGAGGACAGCTTGATGGGGTAGTCAGGCAAGGGTCAATGAAGGAGGTAGTTCACCAATCAATCCCAGAATGACACATGAAATCCAAATAAACACAATTTTCCCTGAAACTGGACAAAATAAATAAGTGTGTAGTATTGGTTGCATGGCCTTACATCATGTTTTGCATGATAACAAGATACATAGAATTCAAGCATCACATTAAGCACATCATCCATAAACATTTTTGATGATGATTAAGAATTTGCTCCATCTCACCTATTTGTGTATTCTCCAATGAGATGAGCTCTTCCATCCCCCAACTGACCAGCCCAGCTTCCAAACTGGTGTCCACCATATCTGTGTGCCAGTGACGTGGATCCGGGGACCACCTTGTTTCCAGATATGACATCAATAAATTCATCTTGATTCACCACAGAAGCATCAAGCTCCAGAACATTCTCTAGTACATCTTTAGAAAAGCAAGCCAGCTTTGCATTGCTTAGAGGTGTTGGTGATACTTCAGAGAATATGACACCCTTCACATTGGGCCTAAGGTAGTTATTTTTGACAGGGTCCAAGGGGAACCTCAGGTAAGTCTTCTGAACCCATTTCAGGGTATTCATTGCTGATATGGAGCACAAAGTTCCATGGACTGCTCACCTGCAACATATTGAAGTATTGAAAATAAGCTCAATATTCATGAACCACCACCAATTCATTGAGGAATTTATGAGCTCAATCTACTCAATCTACACCACTCTACACAATGTTAAGGTCATACCAGTGTTTGCTTTGCACCCCACACTAGCCTGTGTGCTACTTGACTTAGATAACACTAAAAATAGTTCATGGGACATGCATTCTTGAAACAGGTTGGATAGCCATGGACTGCATATCTGAATTACACTTGACAGCATGCTTAAGAGCTTTAGCATTGTTTGCCATTTACTTTTTTGTTGGCAGAGTCACAACATCAAAATTTGCAGCATGCCTGTGAGCTATCTTATCAATATCTTATCTTATCTATTAATATCTTATATCACTGCATCTCTGTTCATACTGTTATCATGCTTCTTCCTTACATAGAGCTATACTTCTAATAAACAATCCAATAAGCACTGCTGAACTAGCACAAATCTGACCACTTTTATGCAGCATGAGCCCTGGAGCACTGAGGCTTGTTAAACTTTACCTTACCAGATACCTCACTGATCATAATTGGTCAAAGGTTGTACAGCCTTAACTGGATGGCATCTGGTGGCAAGGAAACCTAAATTTAGGAACAAATCTATGTTGACCTGCCTGGTAAACCCATGCAGGAGATAGCAAAGCTCAGCATGAGTCTTGAGTCTGTCACTGGGAGCAGTATAAGAACAGACATATCATGAGTTTCATGTTCAGAAGGTATATAGATGAGGTAACAAAAACACCCAATGATATTGGGATATCTCAATTGGCACCCAGACTGTTTGACTATATAGATGAGGTTACAAAAACACCCAACAATATTGGGATATCTCAATTGGCACCCAGGCTGTTTGACAAACACTGCAATGTGCCACTCACAGCATCCAACAGCCTTTTACAACATAATTGCACTGGAACATCTCTAAATCACTATATCTCGCTGTGAAGGTAAGTTGTAGTTATGTAAGGTAAGTCCATCCTTCTATCCACGCAAGACTGAAAGGGGTGGGGGTGAGTCTTCGGAGCCCTCCACTCGTAATTCAAAAGTCATTCACGTCCAGAGATTTTTCACAGAGCTTCACCGACTGACAATAGGCCTGACTGCTAGCGAAACACCACCGGGCGCCGCAATTCCAGGGCAACCACCACCAGCGCCCACCGTCAACCACACCCCGCAATGCAGACCACCAACACGCTGGCCCTCGGCTGGGCAATGTTTGGGAAGTTATGGGAAGTGGGGAGGGCTGGGGAATGAGGTTTTTAACCTATTGTAATAACCTATTACGTCATTTAAAATAAAATATATCAACATGAGCTATAAAAGATAAAAGTGCCATATCAAAAAATGATGTCAAGGTGAATATATGCAAAAAACATATTTTTATTCAAGTACTCTCATAACATATAGCCGATCGAAATAAAGTACGTATTTTCATGATCATTTCTACATGGTAAAAAGTTTCTGCTATGACGGTTTGATTGCGCACATGACGCGACAAAGACAAATAATTTCTGAGGTGTTCATCAGCATTCGTGACGATAAATAGATCAGCCTTAGTGCTTTGCAGGTGTCGTGCGATGTGCCTTGAAGATAGCTGATGCTCAAGTAACTGGTGATCTAAAAAAATGTTTAAGTTTAGTTTCTATGATGGGGACAAGAGTGCAGGATCAGGCAAGGCCATTTTAGCACAACATCGGCTCAATGTTACTAAGACCTACAATATTTGTTTTAATGTCATGTAGACTCTGTTACATAAAAGAGCTGCATTCATAATAACATGTTTGCTATATTTTTACCAATTCATGGTATATAATAAGCGAGTAAGTGATGTCTCTTTGAACAACTGCAGATGCTCAAAGTCTATCATCATTGGTCAGTTAGGCCAGGCAAGTCAGTTTTTATGGCTAATGATAGGATTGGCCTTTTATTCAAGCCTTCTGTCCACCAGAATTGCAAAAGCAAAGTTTAAAATCACTGGGCATCACTGCACATTTCAGATGGTGACAGGCCAACAGGTCATCCAGTCACCCGGCTGGCTATCCAGGAGCACCCTGTGCCAGCTTCACCACTGCTCCCCAGTGTGAGTGTATCGGTGGTAGGGATACCCAGCTATCCCTGAACAGCTAGAGAAGGTTCCTGCTAATAATTGTGGCTTTGTGACTTGCCTGTTGTATGTTAGTCATGAGGCTGAATGATAGCTGATTCTGGATAAGCCTTCATTCATTACCTTACCTTACCTCACCTTATGGTGATCGGGAATTGTAAAAGGTCACTAGGACTGTACGTCCTGGTCTTGTCAGGCTCCTGGTCAGGTAACCAAACAGTCTCAAATTATGGGAAGGTTGGTGTGGGACGTCATACATGATGTCAGCCCAGTGCGTATCAAGCCTAGACTTGAACTGTTTGACTGAGGTCCATAACATGACCAGGTGTGGAAGAGTGGCCAGTCGTTGACAACCGGGGTGCTGAATGAGTTATGACGGATGAGAGTCCTAGCTCCAGGTTTTCTGAGTTTCCATTGGTGTCCTCTTGTCACCTCTGAGTTGTGCCTTGTCAGTAACTCCTCCTCTGACAGCAACATACCTCTGTGATATCAATAGTGGTTTTGGTCACACTTGATTTTCAGGGGCTGATTGTCCATCTGTTTATGTACCATGTCAAATATCAGATATGACACATTGGCTACTCTGTGTTCAGGATGATTCATGAATTGTTTCATGCACAAAGGAGATATAAATATTTTGATAACCAATATGTGACAACTGTGGGCAGTTTTGAACAGCACATTGTCATGCCATCATGCACTTCCAGATTATCCTAAGATCTTTTTGTGTTTGTTATTTGAATTCTGTTGACTTCCATTAATTTTGAGCAACACACCTTTTTGTTCTGTAACTCTAGCTGTGGTAGTGACCAAACTGACATCTATTTTGTAGATGTTTATGCATGCTCTATTTTGGTGTCTTACATAGCATAATCAGGGGTTAGAGGGTTATTATCCAGCATAACTAGTGGGCAGCCAAAAAGGAGATGGATTAAAAATGGTAAAATACATGAAATAATTTAGAAATGGTTTTTTTCCAGAATGAGGTGTCTACTTTGTCATTATGTGGACATCAGATCAAGCTGCTCAATGGTGACCAAGTGATCCTACGCCTGGAGCGAGAAGGAGCTGCAGGTGACCTGTCATTGGCCTTGAAAAGTCACACAGATCTCATACCTGATGTCTATGAAGGTGAGCATACCTGTATCGAATTAGGGGCATGACCAGGATGGGCTTAAGAGGAGGGAGAGCCCAGTAAAAACACATCATGCCAATCTTTTTTTTTTGTTCTGTCAGAAGCAATCTTGAAAAATGAACACAAAGTGGGCCAATTGGGTGGGTCCAAGGGTGCCTCCTTGGATGTGCCCCTGTGCCCAATCATGTTTACCTACTAGGTAGCAAGCAAATCATGGCACATCATCTTGACAACCATCTCCATAAAGTAGGTAGATATTAAATGATCTCTCTCATTCAGCATATGAATAACTGTGACAAGCCACCTCTAGCATCCTGTTTGTACATATTCAGCAGGATTATTCAGGTCCAAGCTGACTTGGGAGTCTTGCAAAATATCTTCATTTAGTGCACAGGGTAGCACATCAAGAGTCACTGTCAGGTGCCTTGATGCCACTTTGGATGGGCGGTCTGCAGCTGACCGTCCCATTCCCACCCGCTGAGCATGTGATCACCTTTCCTCTGACACCCTGAGACCCGATCGTCGCACGTCGAGGATCGCCGGTGCTGAGGCCGTCCGTGCCATGTTTGCAGGTGGGATGAAGCTGTGGGAGTGCTCACAGGACCTGGTGGCCTACCTGGATGCGCACGTGCCATTGGCGGGGCTGCGCGTGACAGAGCTGGGCTGCGGTGCCGCGCTGCCGGCCGTGTTCTGCCTGCTGCGGGGTGCCGCCGCCGTCACTGTCCAGGACTACGTGAGGGATGCTCGGCCCACACCTGACACCATGGGCCCCGGGTGCTGGTGAATCCTGGGCCCACACCTGACACCATGGGCCCGGGTGCTGGTAAATCCTGGTCCCATACCTGACACCATGGGCCCCAGGCACTATGAATCGCGGGCCCACACCTGACACCATGGGCCCGGGTGCTGGTGAATCCCGGGCCCATACCCGACACCATGGGCCCCGGGTACTGGTGAACCCCGGACCATGCCTGACACCATGGGCTCCAGGTGCTAGTGAACCCCGGGCCCATGCCTGACACCATGGGCCCCAGGTACTGGTGAACCCCGGGCCCATGCCTGACACCATGGGCCCCAGGTGCTGGTGAACCCCGGGCCCATGCCTGACACCATGGGCTCCGGGTACTGGTGAACCCCGGGCCCATGCCTGACACCATGGGCTCCAGGTACTGGTGAACCCCAGACCCACACCTGACACCATGGGCTCCAGGTGCTGGTGAACCCCGGACCATGCCTGACACCATGGGCTCCAGGTGCTGGTGAACCCCGGGCTCACGCCTGACACCATGGGCTCCAGGTGCTGGTGAACCCCGGGCCCACGCCTGACACCATGGGCTCCGGGTACTGGTGAATCCCAGGCCCACACCTGACACCATGGCCTCCAGGTGCTGGTGAACCCCGGACCATGCCTGACACCATGGGCTCCGGGTGCTGGTGAACCCCAGGCCCATGCCTGACACGATGGGCTCTGGGTGCTGGTGGATCCCTGGCCCACTCCTGACACCATAGGCTCCGTGTGCTGGTCAATCCCGGGCCCACGCCTGACACCGTGGGCTTCGGATGCTGATGAATGACGAGACCACTCCTGACACCATGGGCTTTGGGTGGGCTGATTGGGACCCAGTAGGAGCTGATCTCAGCTGGAGAGGGTCTCATGAGAGCCAGAGATGAGCTAGATTCGGTGACGTTTCCGTGCTCCGTCATCACATCTACCATGTTATGGTCTCTACTTATGGCTGCAACCTCAACGTAAAAAATCGCCTGACTATGCAGAGTGTTTGCGACGATCCGCACGCTGGCTGTCTGCGGTACGGAAGAAGCACACGGAGTGGCACCACCCCACCCGACGGGCGACCTTTTGCTAGTGTTTCGACATCCGGGCACTTGGATGTCGCGGATGTCAATTTTTTCATCATGCTTCTACAACTTGGCCTGGGGTTCAGTGTATGTTGCCCTTCCTCTCTAAAAAATCAGGCAATCAGGATCAAACGGGGCGACAGTCAGCCCAGTATCGAAGCGTCTCAGGCCTGACAAATGGACCGGGCAGGTCAGATGTGTGGGTTCGAGGGGGCAAGGGGTAAGCGCCAGCGAATTGTATGCGAAGGCGGCCGGAGAGGTAGGATTCTGGTGGCACGAATACACATTTGCAGCCTGCACACCCCACCGGCTGAGTTCCGAACCGCCGCGCCGTGCCGTCCACAGAACCGCGAAGTGGTCGACCACCTTACCATCCCGAACATGCGGCTGAACGTGACGGCGACGCAGCTGGCCGGCTGCCGGGCCCTCTCAGGCGACTGGGGCGCGCTGGCCGCGCTGCTGCGGACCGAGCGGCGCCCGGGCGCCGACCTCGTGCTCACCTCCGAGACCATCTACAGCAGGGAGAGCTGGGCGCGCCTGCTGGAGGCCGTCGACGCCGCCCTGGCGCCCGCTGGCTCCGCGTATCCTCCCGACGGGAGCGGCGGGCGCGGCGCACCGCTCGCTGCCGCGCGGGCGGCGGCATGTGCTGGCTCCCAGTCGCGCAGGCCGGGTCCGCGAGGCTGATCGCGGTTCGACTGACAGCGCTGTGGTGAAATACGGGGTTTGGGTTGGGCTTGGGGTCAGGCTGACAGCTCTCACTGGGTTAATTACAATCGGAATTGTTATATCTTTTTGGTTAGGAGCGCACGCTCTTACAGTAGACGCGACTAGTCATACTCAGGTTTGAGTAGACGCGACTAGTCATACTCAGGTTTGAGCCCAACTGTATGTTTTGTGGTATGTGGCTGTGGCTTTGTTGTGACATGTCCAAGGGTAGTAGACCTGCAGTAGACGCGACTAGTCATACTCAGGTCTGGGCCCAACTGTATGTTTTGTGATACGTGGCTGTGGCTTTGTTGTGACGTGTCAAAGGGACTAATTCCCGTCACAGTCTGGTGAGCATGAGATAGCCATGAACCCCAAAATTGTCCAGCGCGTAAAGGTCTGGTAGTGGAGTGTTGCTTACTAGTGAATGCTGACGACTTTGCGTAATGTTTTTTTTCTTTTTGATGGTCCACATTTATCGACATGCGCATGGCTTGTGTCTGCGAGACCAATGTAGACTGTTAGCTGTGATGTCTCAGGCCTTATGTCTTAGGTTTTAGGTCGTCTTAGGTTTCTGTCCGGTGTAACGACCGGTGTATAAAACCCCCGGATTTGCAGGGTGTTGCTGCCCGTGTCTGGGGCCCAGCTGTGTGTTACGTGAACGTGAATCCCCTATGACTTCTCAGGCCATGTGTGGAAGCCCCTCAACGCTGGGGCTTGGCGTGCGTCTAGCTCACGCTGCGAGTCATCGTTATGCGGTTCAAAGCACGTCTGGGGGTCTCATTTGTCACCTTTGGGGTGACATCCGTCCCACCGTCCCGTGGATCCCGTGGATCCGGGGATCTCACCCGTCCCGTGTCACACTGCCTTGGTCCCTCCGGTGTCATTCTTTGTCACCCTCCCGTGGTTCTTCCTGTGGTCCCCTCCATGTCCCCCTCATCCGTGTACATCTCGTGTCTACTCTCCCGTGGTTCCTCCTGTGGCCCTTCCCGTATCGCCCTCTCGCACCCATCTCGTGGTCCCTCCCATGTTGTCCTCTCCCGTCCGTCCCGTGTCACACTCCCGCGATCCCTCCCATGGCCCCACCCATGTCGCTCTCCCGTGCCACCCTCCCACATCCGTGCCGTGGTCGGGAGCGCGCTCCGTATGTTGCCGATGCGAGACTCCTTGACGAGCTGCTCCAGGCTGGTGGCGGCCAAGACGTGCTACTTCGGCGTCGGCGGCGGCACCCGAGCCTTCGAGCAGGCCGTGCTGGAGGACGGCCGCTTCTCCAGCGAGGTCGTGTTCGCAACGCAGCAGGGTGAGGGCCGGACCCGGCGTCACGTGGTCACCGTCCGAGGGCCACCGGGGAACGCAAGCCGTGCCGCGCTTGCCGCTCGTGGCTGACATGCTGATGGATGTCCTTGGAGTTGTTACAGTGTTCCAGTGTCGCGTATTTTTTGTTTGTGTGCAATGTGTATCATGAACAGTCAACAGCATGGCTAAGCTACCCTCCCCCCCCCCCCCCCAACCACTTACTGGAAGCAAATATTACTGCAGACTACGTATTGGGCACACGTACGCAACTCACGGTTATTTGTTGCAAGGAGCCGAAGACCTATCTGTCATCGATATGGTGCTGTTCTCACCGTTCGTCATGTGCTTATATCATGTCCGCGCCTCATGGAAGAACGTCGACGATACTTTGGACAGCGTGACTCGCCCTTGACGCTCTGTGACATTTTAGGAGACAACTCGCGCCTTCTTGAATCCAAACAGATCTTTTTATTCCTTAAACATAGTAACTTCGGGACTCTTTACACGGTTCATTAGTTAGGTAAAACAGAAATCGTTCTGGGCGCCAAACGACCACTGCAGTCGGCGCGCCCGAAAACACCTGTCAACAACAAAGGAAGCAAATATTATTTGTCCGGCGGCTGCAGGCAGTGACTGCAGACTTGGGTATGCGTTCGCCTAGACCACAAGTAGGTCACGGAGTAAACAGTGTTCTCGTGCATGAAGTTCAACAGAATTTCAAATCCTCGCATAAGGCATGGCACGTTAAACTGCCATTCTTGCGGGGGGGAGGTCATTAACAGTTTCATTGAGTTCCAGCCAGTTTCACTACACACTACTCCAACTGAGTTTTCGGTTTTCTTTGCGTCAAGCGACGAACGGAGTGACAGCCCCCACCCACCGAGCGCCGCGTGACACGTCGGCCGACACGTCTCGTTCCGCCGACCGATCAGCGGACCAACTGTCGTTCTGCCACCGTTTACAGGCTTGCAACGCGAGATTCTGCGGTTGAAGCGATGCTGACTGCCGCGCGCCAAGCCGGCTTGAGACCGGGCCGGCCGGTCAACTGCATCGCGATATGCGTTGGCTCTGTCGTGATACACTTCACTCGCGGCTGTGAAACTTGCGCCATGTTGCTGGCCACGCCGAAGCGTGCTGTTGCTGTCATACCCTGCTTTGCGTTTCTTTCTGCAATGGAAGCGCTGTGGCAATTGGCGGGGTTTTCTTCACTGGCGCGTCCCGACGATCAGGGGGGGGGGGGGGGTGGATAATCGGTGGCGCAGGAAGGTTTGGTTGCCTGTTGAGGCAGATTGGACATGCAGGGATCCCTTACGTTATTACCTTGGAAACAGTGCTGAGATGAATGCTATACATTTAGTGTTTTCTGAGTCGCTCCTCAATGCATAATGGCGCCCATGCGTGTCAGTTGGCGTTTGTTTTGAAGACTGATCCAGGAGCACGGGAAGTTTATAAAAGGCATCGTTTTTGCATTAAAAATGGCCGCTTTATGCCGGGTCCCGCAACCAGCATAAGGCTCGATCTCCGTGTGAAATTCGTCGAACGGTAAAAATATAAAAAAAACATGGAGGAGGGATTCATTGTCCATAAGCCTGTTAAGTTCAGGAGGTTGTTGTTTGGAGACAGCTGAAGGCCGCGTACCATCCCACCAGCGTTTTCCGACGGCACGCGGGGAAAAGAAACTATCGTAAGTAACGAGCCCCGAGACGCGGCATTGCCGGCGCGGGTAAGAGCTCAGTGCCAGCGGCCTTTATCAGCCGAACTTCCAGGCAGGCGTCTAGGGGCATCAGCGCCATTCGCAGCAGTACCGGGATAATGCCGAGATCACGGAAAGTCGCACTGGCTTATCATTCCGCGCTGTCGTTGACAGTCTGGCTAGGGGATTCCATGTACGGGTTCTCGCTCCGAGTGCCTGGAAGAACGAGAATAACTGGGGATGCGTACTCGCGTCCCATACCCGAGTTGCCAGCTGACCGAGGGTGTACAGCTTGTTCGATCGATCTGGGAGGCAAAGCCAGCATCCCTGACGGCATCGCCACTGGCGGGGTCTGGGTCCGCCCTGCTGCACCTCTGGCGTGTTTGTCGCGACCGCCGGGCATCCACTCCTTCACGGGTGTCGGGGTCGGCTGCAACGCCCTCACTGACCAGGTCCGCGGTGTCATTATCAAGCGTCCTGAAGTTCCGCGCCGCACCGGGCTGAGTCATGTGACAGAAAGAGTGGGGCAGACGACCTAATGACGTCACCGCGACGTCGAGGCTAGGGCAGGCTAGGTCGAGGTGGGACCTCAGGCTCACGGCGGTGAACAGGAAGCCGCCAGTGTCCGGTTCACCTTGCTGGTTGCTACGTCCGTGTCTGCCGCACCGCAGCAGGCGTTCGCATCTGACTCGCGTGTAGTCATATGAGGATAGCTAAGTTACGTGAGTGAAAAATATTTCGGTACGTTTGCTCGAGAGTATCTTTGCGCCATAATGATGCCCAGAAGCAGCACATTTCTATGCGCTGACATTGGTTGCAACCTGGCGACGCGCGCCGGACTAAGCGCCCAGACTTGCGCCGCGCATGCGCCGAAGCTATCGCTGCGATTGTACTGCTATGACGGACGATCGTTCAGCGTAACGTGTATTTTATGCAGTCTGGTACCGAATAAATTTAACGACGATCGAACGGTTTGTTATCCGTGAGAACCAAGCCTGGAAAACTAGTGATCAAGGTCTCTGCCACGGATTAAAAGCATGGGAACACTGAGGCTTTGAGGCAAGCCGTTCTCATGTGTGATGCCGCGACCACGGCCATTACATTAAACTATGGAGTTGGGGGGCGACATACCACGTCTGCGGCGACGGGGCACGGCCAGGCGCTTTCTCCTGTGGAGTGAGGCCCATGCTACTGCTAGAAGTCATCATCGGCGCGGGGTTCCACCGAACAAAGTGTGTGGGGGAGGGGGGGGGGGGCGCCCACGATGGAACACCGGTGTGGCGGTTACCGTTAGTTATATTGGGGCCCCGCTGGGGCCGGGATGTAGCCCACACTCTTATTGTTATAGGTGTTGCGCGAAACCTTCTGGCGCTCAATCGGCATTGATGTCGCGCCACACAATACAAAGAGAAAAAGCAGGACATGCATCCAGTGCCACGGCGCAGCCAGAGCCTCGGCAAAGAGGGGGCACATTGTTGATCAAAGGTCGCTTCATAGTGAAAGGGCCCCGCAAAGTCGCCGGAAATGACCCATTTCGTAATAAGTGCATGTTTTCCTTTAATATTTTTATTTTTACCTTGCATAGCTTAAGTAGAACCCAGGAGCTGCCGTGAGATCAATGCTGTTTGAATTTTATTGTAAATAAGCTGAGTATCCGGTTTAGACATAATTAACCGGCTTAAACAACTGCATAAAATAAATCGCTAGCGCTCTTCATTTTACATAAGCCTATTGGAGTCGTTATAAACCGGATAGAACTCAGAATCTTTATCAGAATTTTTATCTGGGTACTACGAACGTGTAATGGATCGCGCGTATGTAGATGGTATATAGAAATGGGTCACCAATTTGTATTAACTTGACCAAGTCACGTGTGTCTGGGAATGTTCAACATTCAGTCAGCATCGATTGGTGATGCAAATTGTGTAACATAGTTTGGAACATGCGCCATCACAAACCTTAGCAACAAAAACCTGGACGCTCGGCATTGCAGTCTCCGTAGGCCGCGGAGCTTTGGCCTGGTGGTTAACACGGGCTTGGGCGGGGGTCAAAGCGCCCCCCAAGGGTTTTCCAGATTAATTTCCGAACGGCGCGGCGTAGTCGTGCCAAACTTTCCATAGCTATGTAGAGTTGAAAAGCAGATTTTTCGATGAAAAAAAGATGTGCCCGGATCAGGCCAGTCAGCGAAGAACGTTTCTGGGGAATCATTCAACGTGATGCAACAACGGTGTGTTAGACAAAGCCATACCTGAGACAGTTCCTTAGGCAATAAATACATTCAATTACCCGACCCGCTAATCTAGTGGTGCTGAAATATAGTGGTGGAAGTGCAAGAGTACAGGTAGAATCTCTACAATACCCCATCTAGCGAGGGGTATTTAACCGGCCACCCAGGCACCTGTCGGTACTGAGTCGCAGCTAACGGTCGGACGAAAATGATGACACTTCTGAAAAAACGTGCCTTTGAACGTTTTAGGGCATCAAATTTTGCCTGCAGACAGTGATTCGGATGTATATTTCACGTGTGCAATTTCTATATGGGTAACAGGAACGCATTGGACTTTACAACACCGCCGAGTGGTATTGGAATATGGTGGTGGGACTGGGAAAGTAAAGCTATTATCCCTATTTTTCGCGTTGCTGTGACTGCCAATCTGTCCAAAAGACAACCCCAAAGTTTAAAAAAGCTGCACGCATTCTAATCTTAATTTTGAAAAACATTCGTAGCCACCATTTCACGACGATCGTTCCCGCGCGCATGGCCCGCCACCTGGTGTCACTTGCAGTGGCCAACGCCGTTCAATTTACGGAAGCTGCAGCCCAAGCCATCGCTGTTCTTGCTCCCGAGATTGCGAGCGCGTATGCTCAAGCCTTTTGATATAATTTGTTTTGCTAGTCGATTTCGCAAAATATTGAACGTTCTCAGGCAAACATTGGACGTCCAAAATAGTTTTTGAACTCATTTCGACTCACCCTGTTCAATACTAATGATACTCCTAATTTATTTCCGGGCAAGGGACGCACTTGATTACAATTCTAGGTGCACAGGATTGTTCCCGGTAAATGGCTGAGATGTCATTCCGTCCCACCGCGAGCTGACTTCCGGCTGCCATTCTGGCGACGCGGGGCGGGATCCCCTGGTCGATCCGGAGGTCCTTAAAGGAGTACATCATATCGTGTTGGTCCCCTCCCTCATGTGGAAGGCCCTGTCATCCGAGCAGTTGTCTCCGGATCGACGCAGGGGTCTTTATTGACGCAACAGCATCCCTAGTCGCTGCAGGTGGTCCAATAATTGCCACATAAACTCTAGTGTTGGAATTGGGTCGGAGGGCCCACCGCTCGTCACTGAGGGCCCTGACGAACACAGGACCCTTCCATCGTCTCAATGTGAACACTCATCACAAGTTCTCAGGCTTTCTTTCATTGTCAGAGGGACCCGACCAACGCATGAGACCCTCTGCCATTCGGGGTCATGTCCTCGTACCTGTTGAGAAAATGGTTCCCTGCCCGACTCGAGGTCTGTTGTGGACACAGAACACCCTGTAAGGCACTGTTGGCCGCTCACTGATACAGGATACAGGGTAAAGCATTGTTGCAGCGCCCCCGACCGGCGCAAATCGCGACCTGGCCTTGTCCCTGCTTGGGAAATGGCCCCCAGAGTTCAGACTGACATGGAGCCGACTGTGCGGTGTTAGTGATCTCTGGCCGAAATAGCGGATCGCTCTGTCTCAGGGGTCCCCAATGAGTGCAAGAAACCCTCTAACTGACATTTGAGGTCACGACCTTTCGGGCGAGGGTCCTCAATGTGACCTACAGCCAGCCCTTCGTGCCATTCAGCTATCCAATCGGGCCCTTGATCTTTGGTCTCGAGAGTTCATTCGGCCCCTCTTCAGGCCTTCTTAAACACCGCTCCTGGCCGATTCTGGACCGCTGGCCGCCACAGCTGCTACAGGATCCCTGCTAGGCACTGTGGCTCCTGACCGACACCGGATCCCCTTATTATGTCAGGGACCCGAACATTGTAAATTGCGGGCCACAGCCTTCTTCCTGCTTGGGAAATGTGTCCAACGGGCTCAGACAGACATGGAGCCGACTTTTTGGTTCCGTGTCGAGGCTCTATATAATAAGGATGGAGAAACCCGAAACAGGGCCTTAATAGAAGCCAGCTGACTGACATTTCAGGTCTCGGCACTTCGAGTGGGAGGGGGGGGGGGGGACGTCCAATTTGGTCCTTGATCTTTGGTTGCGATGGGCCCTTCCACCCCTCTTCCGACCTCCTCAAGGCCCGTGACCGATTAGGGGGCCACCAGCCGACACATGCCTCCCCCTCCCCTGGTAGGCAACGTGGGGCCCTGAGCGACACCGAGGCCCCAACCATTGTTTCAGGGACCAAGACCTATGCAAATCATGGCCCCGGGCTTGCTCATGCTTGGGAAATGGGCCCCCACGGTTAACAGTGACAGGGAGCCAACTGTTCGCTGTTCGTGATCTCTGGCCAACTAGACACCCACATTATCTCAAGCGATCCTCAAACGGTCCGAGAGAACCTCTGGCTAATATTTCAGGTCACGACCCTACGGGCTACGGTTCTATATGTGACCTTCAGCCAGTCCTCCGGGCCTTTGTACTCTCCAACCGGGTCCTTGATCATCGGTTCCGGCGGCCGCCCGGGCCCTCCTTCGTACCTCATGGAGCACTTCCCGCAGTGGGATCGGGCCCCTTACGAACACATGACTCTCTGTAGAGCATTGTGGGCCCCTGACAGATACAGGGGCCTCGACCAGTGTAAATCGCTGGCCCCGTCTTCGCTGCTGATCGGGAAGTGGGCCCTTAGTCCCACATCGACACGGAGCAGACTGTGCAGTACTGGTGGTGCCTGACCGACATACAGACCCGCATCGATTCAGAGGGTCCCCGATCGGGCCAAGGGTCCTCCGACTGTCACTTGAAGGCTCATCCCGGGCATAAAACTCCAAACAGCCTTTCGTGCCCTTAGACCCTTCAATTAGGCTCTTGATCGTCAAACCCGATGGGTCCACGTGCTCTTCGGGTTTCCTCGACCACGGCCTACCGACTCGGGACCCACTGCGGACACAGGGCTCTTTTTCAGGGCCCAGGGTTAGGCTCTGTGTACCCTGATAGACGCTAGAGCCCCTACCAATGTAAATCGCTAGTTCCAGCTTTGTCCCTGCTTGAGAAACCGGCCCTCAGGCCCACGCCGCTGAGGAGCCGGCTGTTAGTTACTGGTTATGTCTGACCTGACTGACCTGAATGTAGTGTCTATGTATCGTTGAAATGAAAACCATTCACATTCCCCGGTATTATCATACCTCCCCGGCTACCATATGAAATGAGCACCTGTTTGACGTTGAATAAATAAACAGTTTCCCCACCGACCGTTACCACGCGTTTTATGGTTCGCACCGAACCAGACCATACGCGAGCTGATCCAGCTCCATAGTCACCACACTGCACAACTGACAAGGCATGCCATGGGATCACGCTGCCGCAGGGACGCAGTTTCAAAGGGTCAAAGCCAGCGAAAAACCTACTTCTGGGCATTTTTTCCTGTTCAACCCTCAGACTTGGTTTATGAAACTACATTCCTGTGCTGCTCTCGAAACCAGTTCTCCATATGAAGACCAATGCAGTGCAAAGGCTAATGCCTCCATGTATTGGTTAATGTATTGGGGCCACGGGCCGTATTGATACGAGTGATGCCCACTACCCACGCGAGGCCTTGGAAAAATGCGAAAAATCCCAAGAACCGTGGAAAACCTGTCTAGAAAAACCGTGGGAGAAGCCACAAGTGTTCCACGTGCGCCATTTTGACCGCGTGCCGGCAGGAGCGATGGTAGCGCTTACAGTGGTCGTCTATAAGAGGTAATAAGAAAGGTAACTAAATGCGTGTTGGTGCTAGAAATGCCATAGAACCATATCACTTTTCTTTTTCTAAATTAAAGAGATGCGGTTAACAGAGACCAATTTCGTCGTCGTGTTCTTTTGAAGCTTGAAGCATGATTATTGCTATAAAGTCGATCACAAACATGGAAAACTGTCTAGCGTGCAGGAAATCCCAATTGGAGCGAAGCGCTTTCCACTGTACCATACTTAGCCAGCCGCCAGCTGTCCCACCACCCCCCGCACCCATCCCCGTTGTACGTCATCGCTAGCGGTCAGTGCCACCACAGCTGCGCACGATTCGCGCATGCGCGTAACGGGCGGGCTCTCAGAACCAATCACTTTGCGCATGCGCAGCCGCGGCGCCACTGTACTTGGGTTTTCATCGGAGTTCGGCCGCCGCTGCCTTTCCGTCGCTGCGTCAGAGGAGTGAGGTCGGGGGCTCCGCCGCGGGATTTTGCCGAAATGGCTGACGCAATCATGGTAAGTGTGGGGGATAAGTTGTAGAGCTGAATCTGATGCATACCATGCATGTGTTTAAGACCGAAAGGTGCGATACTTATGGCAGGACAGCGTTGGATAGTTGTGGACCGACCGGGTGAAATTTTCTAAGTGCCAACATGGCGTCTGCGGCTAAGTCCCGTGATGGCGCCTGCCGGCCGCGTGGGCTAGCCGCGGAACGACTTGGATGCTCGCCTGGTGAATGTGTCGCGGTGAGTCGGGTGGAATTTAAAGCTGGAGGTGGTCGGTGTCGACAACATATTTTCGACGTCTTTCAGATGGAGAACGGCGCGGGCGCATCAGTTCTCGGAAATGGAGGTAAGCTAAATTCCGGTTGAGATGGATCGTTCACGCGAGATGGTAACCGGATGTGCTTGTTACCCACTCAGCTATTGGTTGTTTTTTTATTGATGCCTGCTGAGGATTCGGATACAGAGCAAACCGATCACCACGGATCGGGACCGGAGTCGTCTTTGTTGGTCATTCTCGCGAAGTGCGGGAAGGCAGCGGACGCGTCCACTGATATGCTACACTCACGAGGCACGGGTTTTTAGCTGTGCGCTCTTAATATGGTTTTCCATACCACCGAGTATTGATTGTTATTTCGGCCCGCGCATTTCAACCGCGGAAGCGCAATTAGTATGCCGGCGTGGGTTAAAGCAGAGGGGCCGAATATGCATAGTGTAGATACCATTTGTTATGTAACGTGCGAGCGGCTGTGCGTGGCTGTTTTTCCCGACTTTACGGAGGTCGTGAGGGAGCATTATGCTCGCGATGTTTTGCAATTCGGGGTCTCGAAACGCATCGAGTGACGCTCACGATACAGCGCTGAACGGTCATGGTGCCGTGGCCACCGGGCGGAAAAGGACAACCAGTTTTGACCGGATGCCGTCCGCTTTCGGCAACAGTGAGGATTCTATTAGATATCAGTGAGTTTCCCTACTGGCTGAAGGATCTTTGTTCGGAAGTCTGTGTGTCAAAATCACGGCCGCGTGTGTGCTGTTTGTGCACCAAGATTTTGGGAGCAGTGAACGATTGTTGTGGCGTTGGTAATTATTCAGAATACCTTCATAGGGCATCATTTTCTTTTGTTGAGTACGCACTGCCAGCTCCACGGTCTGGCATTGGACGGTAGCTTGCCGGCGAGAAGCTCGTCAGCGAGTTTCTCGTACCCCGCGACGGTGTCGACACTGACATCTGTCGGCGGCCGCGGTTGCCAGACGGAACGTAAACAGACCAGTCCTGCAAGAGCATGATTGGTAGCGTGAGTAGGTGATTAGATTGTTGCCGCTCCTTCCCGCGAGATGGCAAAATGGAGCTACAGCGAGGTGATTGGAGGAAAACAAGGCGAAAACTGCATTTGTCCTGTTACTGCACAATTATGCTGGGGCTGGCCCGCCCCGCTTTTTGGTTCGGTGTGGTCTTTCGGCCAGCGATGACCACTGACCTTGGCTTTGGACCAAGGAGGGAGGTAACTGTCGGTGAAACACTGATCAGAATAGGTCCTCACCGCCGCTGAGCCGAAGCCCGCACCGGCCCAGCTCCGGAGCTCGTGCGGTTGGCAGGACGGGATTCCCGCCAGCGCTGCCGCGAGCCCACTCATGACTGGTGCCGTGCCACGCTCCCGACTGGGAGTGATTACCGCGATGATTCAGAGCGAAGAGGAAAATGAAGAAAACAGACCGGATGACCGCCGCTGGCCGCTGCCGTTTGTAATGTAGGTGCAGGTGTGCCGGGCGCCGCGAGTTTTCCGCGGCGCCTTTTTCGTAGTAGCCGGATTAAGTTTTGTGAAGCACGAGCTTGCGGTGCGAGGAGCAGCCGATGGGTCGCCTGCCGTCATTGTTTGCGGCCGTGTGTTGCTGTCCGAGGGCGTGGCAAAGCCATGTTAGCAGCTGGCAATGATAGTTAAGATGAGTGTAGAAGACAGGATTTGATCGAGGGACTCTGTGTGCATGTCTTTGTTTCGTGTGGCGTGATGCGCACCTTGGGGGCGTCCATAAATTGCGCTGTGCAAGTTTGACCCTTTTCAACCTCTTCACCTGGTTGCAAACTGGTCCCGCTGGGCGCATATCAAGAGGAAGCCAACGGTGCCTGGCTTTAAGGTTCGAAAGCATAAGAAGATCAGCACCATTTACGGTCACCCCTGAGCGTAAAGTTAAGCTGTCAACCCTCGCTTCACCGCAGTTGCGCTGTACCGAGCCCCCCCCCCCCTCACCCCATGGGTTACACAATACATGATCTGCCGTTGTATTCTGAGGGTGACAACTTAATTCATGGGGTATTATTTGCAATGTGCAATGTCGAGCGTTACTACGAGGCTGATAGAAATGGCTGTTAGAGACTCATTCAGATGTTTGAAATTTGTTTACGATAATTTGCGAATTAATCCAGGGTAAATTAGACCTGTCTGTGATACGCATGATCCCATTTCCCACGACATTTTCGCCTGTCACGGGTTTGTTTCCGCATACACGGCAGCTCCTCAGAGCTGAAATAGGAGCAAGCGCAATAACAGCCGTTGGGACGATCATGCCCCGTCGCGGGCAATAAATGCCAGCCGTATCGGTCGTTAGTATGCTTTACCTGACCGCTCAGCAACTGACGCTCCTTTAAAGAGTCTGGTCAGTTTTAGGCTTATCCCTCTTGCACACTCGCTACTTAATTAATTTTTATCTTCTTTTGCACGGTACCTCATTTGACCAGGCTTGGGCGCAGTTCAGACGGCCTCGTAAAAAGCTTGCATTCTTAATCAATGATGACCACGCCTGTCTATAGGTGGTAAGCCGGGGTTTGTTTCGAGCAGTTTATGATGTCGCGCCCCCACCCTACGCTTATCGGGCCACACCGGCAGCTAGCGGCGCTGTTATAAGTGCGTCTGTGCGTGGCTGCGACCGGTCGCTATCGATCTAGAAAATCCACGGCACGTGGATTATCCAGGTCAAGATGTCTGCTCGGATGTCGGTTCGAATCTCCGCGATACCGGGCGTGGCCGTCTGTTGCCCCTGCAGGATGTCGCGACCGCTTCCGAGACACCGGCAGTGTTGGTCTCGCTCGGCCAGCCCGCGGTCGTGGCGCGTGGCTGATACAGCCGTTCCCAGTGCTTCCGTCCGATGGTTCACCTGGAACACGTGACACGCTGCAGGCCGTGCGTCACCGCCCGGCACGTGACCGGCGGCGCGGCGCGGCGTGTTGTGGCGCCGCGCCGCTAGGCGGCGGTGGCGGGCCCGGGAAGAGGGCGCTCGCGAGCTCGGGTCCCACGCCGTCCCCTACCGCCCCAGCGCCGGCGCGCGTGGGCCGAGCCGTGTGGGTTTGCGGCACGGGCGCGCTTGTGCACCAGTTACGTTGATGAGGGCAGTGATAGACTTCCCAGTGTGTGCGTGTGTGTTAGGAAGCTGAAATGTCACCTGGGGCGGGGGGACGTTAATTGATGACTTGGCGTGCGCTTACTACACGCTGCCCGGAAGCGTTCACTCCCGAGCTTCGCTTGGGCGATCTGAGTGCTGTTGCTGAGCTTCCTCGCACCTTGTGCTGCGACCACTGCGACGCATTGACAAACGGGATCTTCAGGTTACAGCGGCAGCATGAACGGGGACGTGAAGGAGCACAAGTCGGAGCACCGGTCCAAAGAGCACAAGTCCAAGCACAAGAACAAGCACAAGGACAAGGACCGCGAGCGTAGCCGCGACCATAAGTCGTCCCAGTGAGTTGCCGCCCAGCGTCGGCATCCACGGGCGCCGCTCGTGAATGGGGCTGCAGCTGGCGATCAGCTGCGGCGTGTCTGGGTTTGTTTTTGCGGAAGGTTTTGTTGCGGCACTTCAGTGTGTTTTTATTGGCTGGCTGTGGACAGCCTGTCTGTTGCATTGAAGCTGTTTGAGTCACAGCTGAATGTATGCATGATGCTGTGTAGTCCAGCCACGAGGTAGTTTGCATCAAGTTTTTTGTCATTTGTACTATGGTACTTAAAAACCCATATCCTGTTTTGAAATGAATTTGTTTTGGTACATAGAGAAGTGATCACTTCACTTCTTTTCTCTTCACTTCCTCACTTCATGTCTCGCTATGGCCGCTTTTGGCATATCAGGCTGGTTTTTGTCTGGATGATTTTCTACCTTGCTGATGGGACTCGCATCATTACTAATGGACTATTTTTCTTGTGCAGCAAAGATAAGCACAGAAGCAAGGAACACAAGTCTCACAAGTCCAGCTCCAAAGACAAGGACAGGCACAGCAGTTCCAGCAGAAGAGACGGGGACAAGGATCGGCACAGGGAAAAGGACAAACACAGAGATAGACATCAGGAGGACAAAGAGCACCACAGATCGAAAGAGATTCAAGATGAGATTAAGCAGGAGGTGCAGGAAGAGGAACCTCAGGCTAGTGTGCATCCTGTATTCATATATATTGTTCATTACATATATTCAAAATTGTTTTTATATGGTTTCTGAACAATGCAATGGTGTATTGTGTAATTCATGCCATGCACAATTATTGTTAAGTGCTTTGCATTACCGCGAGAAAGCCTTGTATAGTTAAAATGTTGCATGATATAAATTGATTTGTGTTACCTAAAACATTTTCCTTTATGGCACCTGCTCCAGTGGTTTTTATTTGTCATAATTTCCTCTTGTAGTTCTTAGCGACCAACGTTGTGCATTGTGAGCCAGCCAGTACTGAAGCCTAAAGTCAGCGGCAGCACGCCTGTCACGTGTCCGACCGCCAGCAGGTGTACGAGGAGCAGCACTCGCTGCAGAGGCAGGTTCTGGACGACTCTCAGGACTTCACCGACGGCGACGACGAGGACCGGCTGGTCATCAAGGAGGAGCTGCCGATGGACAGCGAGGACGAGCAGCCGCTGGTCAGTGGGGCGGTCGTCAGAGGGGCCCGTGCAGCGTCCTGTCCCCAGCTTGCCGGCGTCCGGCCGCCGGCCTGGCGCTGGTGCTGGCGCCTAGGTGGCCTCCCTGGTTATCGGGACCAGGAAGAGCGGTCTCGTGCAGTCTAGCCGAAAGGACGTGGCGTTGGCGGCATCTTGGAGCGGCCATTTGTGGTACTTATCTTGACGGCCGGCGTAGCTCACTTAATAGGGTCTGGTACACTTCCCCGTAACCCTCCTCGGAGTGGGGAGCCGAGGGAGAAGCCAACGCTGCGGGCAGCGGGCTTAAATCGGGTTCCGGGTGTACCGGGTTTAATCAGTTTTGACGGCTGGTCCCATAGATGTCTAATGCTACCGGGTCGGAAACGGCCGCGCCTAGAGTGCCAGGCAGAGGGATTCATGGATCGCTTCAAGCTGAACCCGCGCGTATAAGCGGCCGGGGTATGGTTTAACGATATCATCCACGACGCAAACAAATGAAGCGTTGTTTTTAGCTGATGAACGTGTGCGTTTCACATAAGGGGACCGTCACAAAACAAAACAACCGATGCAGCTGCGCATCCGATAAAACTGGTGGGACGGGACGCTGGAAAACGGCATTGAAACGCTGACGCTGAGAGTTCACAGCTCATGTGACCATGTTATGCGCGTCGCTTTTGTAGCCGCTCGCTGAGGCGGCGCGCGGATTCGGCCAATGCGCGCTTGTGTTAAAAGTAGCACTGCGAAAAGAGTTGATTGATCGCAGTTTATAAAGATTGCTGTGAACCCAAAGATGCGAGTCATTAATTTAGACAAATGATAAATCGGACCACATTCAACTGAAGCATGCAAGGGAGACTCGGCCGCAAATATTTTACTTCCCTGCGGCTTAGGCACTTGTCAAAATTAGTCAGGGCAAAGTTGTGAATGAATATTGAGGGGTGATCTGACGTTATGCCGTGCCTGATAACGATGAATTGTCAGCGATGGTAAAGCGGCATGCGGCGCACCGCAGACCCTGTGCAATCACGGGTATAAGCTGTATAGTTTGAGCATGCTGTTGTACAATATGCGGTCACCGTGCTAGTAATACGCCGCCTGCCGCAGCCGCGGTTCTTGACCGATTGCTGTCTGCCTGTGCTCTGGCAACATAAATGAGGATCACAGCAGCATATCAACCCAAGCCCCGAACGGACTAGATGATGCTGAACAGCGGTTGACTTCAGCGGTATCGTTGCATCGGCCGGTACCAACGCAGCCGGGTGTTCCCGGACCTCGCTGGAGCCGGCGTAGACACCGAACCCATGAGACACAGCGCAGCAGCCTGTCTCGCGAGAGCCGATGTAACAGCCGATCCCACCACCCACTAGTCGAGCTCAGTGTCCATTGGTGGGAGCTGGAGAACTTAGCTCACTGAAGGAAAGTGTAAATATCATAATGTAACCGCGGAGTCACTGTGTAAGTAGTGTGCGTGTGGGGGGGGGGGGGGGGGCTAGCACGCTTTGGTCTCGAGTCTTCTTTTCGTGTAACCCCGCGGGATACTGTTTCGTGTTGCCTGGAGTTGGGGAAGGGGCCGGTGGGGGTGAGGGGGCGGCATTGCCGTGTCCTAATCTACTGCCCGTGCCATGGGGCCAAACTGCAGTCATTGGAGTTGCATCAGTACAATAGTAAATGTGATCAAGGAACATGCAAAACCATAAGGAGAGGGGCCCAGCCTTAACACGAGCATAGCAACGCCCAGAGGCATCATTTCGCTAAATCCAAAATGCTTCGGATGTGGTTTCTTACCATAGTGAGGTGGGGGGGGGGGGAGGGGGGGGGGGGCGGGGAATATTCCATCTGGGCAGCACAGTACCGGGCATGAGCTTTGCTCCACGGCGTGAAAAGCTTTGGTTGACACTGCTCAGTCCCTTAAATCCCGATTTAGGAGCAGGTGAGCAGCCAAGGGAAAGGCCTGGAGCTCTGGTGCCCCCCGTCCCCTCAGGCCCAGATTTTTTGTTACCCCCCCCCCCCTTATCGATGGCTGGTGGCAGAAGTGACAAAAGCCCGGCGTGATGCAGTGGCATAGTTTCTTATTCAGTTAGAGTGGGGGCTCAGCCCTCTCCCCGCACTTGTTGAGGAGAAAATGGGCCAAATCTGGGCGGAAACACGTTGTTGGCGTATTCTTGGGTAGGTTGAGCCATTTTTCACTGTCCCCCCCCCCACACCAATTCATTTTGCGAAACTACCCTCGTGGCGTGATGCATGCCCACCGAGCTATGGGCCCCATCCCTTGAAAAAATCCTGGCTGCACCCTGTTCGGGGGGCATATGATGTGTACGAAAACCGGAACAGCAGAAGAGGTACTCACCCAGGCCTATGACAATGTTCACGTGCACCCTGTTGCGCGGTGTGAAGATAGCGAAGTAAAATGCCCCCCCCCCCCCCCCCCATCTCCCAAGAGGATATGCGTGGGTTGGCGAACACCGAATGGTTATCAAACGCAATTGGCCAAGATGCACCAGTCCAAATTTTTCTCAGATTCACCCCTGATAAGTGGAGATCGCATTCAGTTGCCAGATAGACAATCCAGGCTGCTGTCCATCAAGAGCTTAAAGCGTTTTTATATTCTGTATGCCAGTACAAAGACAATACCGGCGTGCACCAAGTGTAGGTACCGATCAATTGCAAGATTTTCTCCGCCTGGGCCCGTACATGCTGATCTATAATGGCAGAGGTGCGTGGACTACCGCGCTGTGGGAGGGGGGGGGGGGGGGGGGCGGTGGGGCTCAAGTACTCCCGCAACTGCGAAAAGCTGCTTTTTCGGCCAGCAAGTAGTTTTGTTTGCCCACATTTGCCTACGAGTCCATACCATTTTACAGCTAATGACCGTATTTGGATCACGCACGCCTGCTAATAATTAAGACCCGTAACATGGGTGTTGTCGATCTAGTGGTATTACGCATCTGTGGTCGACGCCAAAAGTTTTGCCGGCGGCGTTCTTGCGTAAATGGTGAAAGTGATCATCGCCTCGAAAGATGCCGGCGGCCGATGCCACGTTCGAATTATTTTTCCTTCGGTGCGTTGTGTGAATTCCGCTGGCCACGAAGACTTCCGTTTTTTTTAAATTCCTGCGATCGACCCCGAAAATCGTCGGTAATTGTCACGACCTGTAATGAGAAGTACCCAATTAGTTTTGCAACTTACCCATGCAGTCCACAAACAGGATCACAAACACAAGCATCGCAGTTACAGCCTTTTCTGGTACCCAGTCATGCCGGCCAGCCATAGTTTGAAGACCTGGAGTCAAACTGTCAACCGACGATAAAGCGCAACCAAGGTCGTTCGTTCTGGACTGTGCAGCAGATGAAGCCACCCCGTCCTAGGATGTCCCCATTAACGGGACGTCAGCGGACCGCGGACGTGGCATGAAGTCAGCTGATGTATCACAAAGGGATCGAAAACACTGATGAAGAACAATTGCACAGCGCGCATGGCGCCGTTCAGTTCGGCGGTCGCAGGCGTCGGCGCTGACGCCTCAGTCAAGTAGTCAGGCGGGGTCGTGTCCTGGGACGTCGATCTGGCGGCATGGTGGCCTACGGATGATGTGGCCGCTGCGCTCGTGGAGCGGTACACGTCTCGGCGGCCCGACACCGGCGCCATCGCTGCGGCGAGCAGTGCTCTGCGATTATCCCTCTTGGTCGGAAGCCGTGTCCTGTCTCCTCGCGGCATGCATACTGGTATGATCGTACCCCCCGCTCGTCATCTTGCAGTTGTTTACCAAACGTCCCGGTAGCTGGGGGGGCCATCGCGTGTTTGCGGTCGTCCTGTGTGGGACGGTTATCTGACTATGTGTGCTGGCGGCAAAGGCGGCTACAGCACGCGACGATGTGGGAAATGTGACCAGTGTGCCAGCCGTGTTCAGCTGGTCAGTCTCGCCTGCCACGCCGCGGTTTGTTCCGGCGACCGCTTATCGCGTGCCCGGCGGTGGCGTGATCTAACCATGACGCCGCAGCTCTGCGGGGCGCTCCCCTCCGTGGCCGATGCGCGTCCGGCCATCCGGCCGGACCCCGGCCGGCGCCCGTCTGACCCTTCCCCGCCGCCGCTGTTCCAGTCTGCGCGCAAGAGGCCGGCCGTGACGCTGGGCGCCGGCGACGAAGACAGCGAGGAGGACATCCCGCTGGCCGTGCGCAAGAAGGCCATCAAGGCCAAGCGGAAGGCCGACTCGGACGACGAGTACGAGCGCAAGCCGGTACGTGCGGCGTCGTCTAGGGGAGGCGGCCGGGGCCTGGGGGAAGTCGGATGTCGCCGGTGTAGGCGGACGGGGCCCGTGGGCAGGCAGGCGTCGCCTGGGGGAGGCGGGTCGGGGCCATGGAAAGGCAGACGCCGGTTGCAGTGTGCTCTATGCCGGCCAGATGTCTCCTGGACAGATGCTCAGTGTTGAAAAGTGTTGACTAAAATTGTCAGACGTCTGAAACTGTTGGGAAAATGCCCAGATTGACCTGTTTGCATCAGTCAAGTGTTGAATATCATCCCTGTAATGCAATATAAGTTACAGGGATGGTACTTCAAGGCACTGGCATTTGACATAAACCAGTCAATGCTGAAGCTGTGATGACTGCTTGGCATAAACGGATTGCAGGGACAGTAATGTAAACCAATTTGTCCTATAACAAGGTTGTGTACTTGATTTGTCATATCTGTATTATTGGATGTGTGATAATGCACCTATATGCATCTGCATAACAACACTTGCAAATGACTGAAAGGAACGGTCGTGCCTATTACGAGTCATACCCAGTAGTCCCCGGAGAACGAGTTTAATTTTAAATGTCAATTGGAACATCTGTTGCAACATATGCACACCACACTTTGATCAGACACTTGTATCTACATGCTCTTCTTGTTTTATTTTTTATATTTTATTTACTTCTTATTTTAGCTGAAAAGTAAACGGGACTACATCGTGGTACACAATAAAGTCACAAAACGAGAGGTATAGCAGTTTTCTGAGTTTTTGGTAGCTTATGCCGGTTGAAAAAATCAGAAAGCAGTAAACAAGCCGCCCTGGTTGACTGTCCCGGTGTTAAGGGGTTTCTTGTGTTGCATCCATGGCCGTTTGACTGCAATGGTTTGTGTATGAAGCGGTGCTCGTCTACGTGGTGACCAAGAGCCCAGGAAGCGGATTGATGTGCATTTGGCTCACGGAGGCACCTGGTCGTTATTTGACGCCGGCTGCTCCGTTTCCAGCCCAAGAAGGTGAAAAAGGAGATGAAGAAGGTAAAGCCAGAGACGCTCAGCCCCACTAAGAAGAAGAAGGCTGAGGAGGAGCAGCAAGTCTGGAAATGGTGAGAGAGCGCGCGCGCTGCGTGTGTTTTCGGAGGGCGTGAGCTGCAGCCAGAGCTGTCGGCCGCCGACAGTGAGAGTGGGTCTGTGGCGATGTACGCCGACTGCTGAGTCGACGGCGTAGCGGACGACGGTAACCTGCCGTTGGCGGGGTGTGCAGCTCGGGAGGTGAACCGTTCGCTGACGACGGTGTGGCGGGGCACGGGTTCGAACCTGGCTAACGGCCTATTTTTTCATTTTCTGCCGCAGTGGGCGCGAGAGGCCGCGAGGACGTGCTTTGTATGGTTTTAGTAGCGCTAGCACAGCGATCAGCTGCCGGGCGTCCGCGTGCTGACCTCTGACGTTCGGGCGGACCTATGTAAACCGCCGCGTCCCGGACCCGGCCCTGGCACTGGCACTGGCAGCGGCACTGGCACTGGCACTGGCACTGGCACTGGCACTGACCCGGGCCCTGGCTCTGACCCCCCGGACCCGGACCCGGACCCTGAACCTGAACCTGATCCTTATCCTGAACCTAGAACTGACCCTGACCGTGACACCGGCCCCGACCCTAACCCTGACCCTGACCCTGACCCTGACGCGGGCTGCCTCGTCTGCCAGGTGGGAGGAGGAGAAAAAGGACGACGGCGTGAAGTGGCGCTTCCTGGAGCACAAGGGCCCCCTGCTGGCGCCAGAGTACGAGCCGCTGCCGCACCACGTCAAGTTCTTCTACAACGGCCATGAGATGAAACTGTCGCCCCTGGCGGAGGAGGTGGCCACCTTCTACGCCCGCATGCTCGACCACGACTATACCACCAAGGAGGTGTTCAACACCAACTTCTTCCGCGACTGGCGCAAATGCATGACGGAGAAGGAGAAGGAGAAAATCACAGCGCTGAAGAAGTGCGACTTCACCAAGATGGCGGCGTATTTCAAGGTGGGCTGGCTGGAGCTGGGGCTGGATGCACAATTTATTCTCAAAGCTATAACATCGCTTTCTAAAATGAAGCGACGTTATGGTCACTTGAGCCAGCTCTAAAGTTTTTAACTAGCAAGCAATGGGTAAAACCGGAATGTAGCAAAAACTACTTTTAGCCACCTGAAGCTCCACTCTGGGACCTAATTTAAGTGGCACACAGTGATAATTGTACTGCTCATCATTTTTGATGTGGCCCGACCTTATGTTTCGATTCAGCGCGGTTCTGGGGCGTGAGTGCTGGGGTAACATTCGCCTGCGGTCTCTGTGTATGGGCGCTGCCCGTCGTCCGCTGGTGACACCTTCGCTCCCCTTACTCGCAGGAGAAGACGGAGGAGAAGAAGGCCATGAGCAAGGAGGAGAAGAAGAAGCTCAAGGAGGCGAACGAGGTCATCACCAAGGAGTACGGCTTCTGTACTCTGGACGGGCACACGGAGAAGATAGGCAACTTCCGTGTGGAGCCGCCCGGTCTCTTCCGGGGCCGGGGTGAACACCCCAAACAGGTGTGTGCATGCGGCTGCCCATGTGTGTGCGTGTGCGTGCGTGTGCGTGCGTGCGCGCGTGCGTGTGCGTATGCGTGTGCGTGTGCGCGTGCGCGTGCGCGTGCAGTTGTGGGGGATGTATGTGAAATGTGCGTTGGCGTGTGCTAACAAAGTCATATTGCAATGTGCAAATATTTTTACTTGATTTTTTGAATGGACATGTATGCTTGGGTCGCCTAAAACGACCTTGTGGTGTTAGGTTACATTACTCATTACCCGCATGACATTCCGAGATTCTGGATTGAGTCGGAAGGTCCACGGGCGCAGAGTCAGATATTCAGCAGCCCGAAGCCGGCATCACACGTGACTGTAGCGGCGAGGCAGCCGCGGGCGCTGCGGGGTCGGCCGCGCCGGCCGGCCGGCCACCGTGTGGCCCAGCGCCGACAGCCGTCCCTCGGCCGCCGACAGGGCATGGTGAAGCGGCGCATCACCTCCGAGGACATCATCATCAACTGCAGCAAGGAGTCCGAGGTGCCCAAGCCGCCTGCCGGTCACAAGTGGAAGGAGGTGCGCCACGACAACACTGTCACGTGGCTGGCGTCCTGGACGGAGAACATCCAGGGCCAGATCAAGTGAGTGACTGGTGCCAGGGGAGCAGCAGGGGGGCTATGCCACGTGGTTTGGGCGCTGGAATGCCACGGGGCGATAGGCGAGCGTGCGTATCAAATGCTTGCTGCTTGACATACCCATAAATTCCCTTGCCGATTCTTATTTGAAGGTTGTGGGTAATTTTGACGCATGACGTGTCATTGGACACAGTGTTCACGTGCTCTTGGTGTCCAAGTCAAGACATTGTGCCATATTTTTTTTGTAGTTTTGTGCTATGTTCGTACCGAAACGTTATCTTTTTGCACTGTGCGCTGGCTTCAAATGTTGGAATGCGATGTCTCGGCCCAGGACGGCCCGGGCGCCTGTGTGCTCGTGCACTTTGTGCGGCTCGTGCCGGGCGCTGCTGACCCCGTGTTGGCGGCAGGTACGTGATGCTGAACGCGGCGTCGCGCCTGAAGGGCGAGAAGGACTGGCAGAAGTACGAGACGGCGCGCCGGCTCAACAAGTGCGTCGACGAGATCCGCGAGTCCTACAAAAACGACTTTAAGAGCAAGGAGATGCGGATACGGCAGCGCGCTGTGGCCATGTACTTCATCGACAAGGTGAGTGGTGGGGGCCGCGCGCCCTTCGGCGGAGCGCGCCCTCCCGTCCGTGTCACGTGATGAGTCAATCCCTTTTGCTCTCATACGACCGCTGCTGAGACCACTGCTCTCTGAACGTGGCCGTAGTCGCCGTTGGCGGCCGCTGGCCGGGCACTGTCTGAGCCGAGCCTGTCGCTCTCCCCGCCAGCTGGCGCTGCGAGCCGGAAACGAGAAGGACGAGGACCAGGCGGACACGGTGGGCTGCTGCTCGCTGCGCGTCGAGCACATCAAGCTGGAGGAGGAGCTGAATGGCAAGCAGTACGTGGTGGTGTTCGACTTCCTCGGCAAGGACTCGATCCGTTACTACAACGAGATCTCCGTGGAGAAGCGCGTCTTCAAGAACCTGCAGCTGTTCATGGAGAACAAGGGGCAGGGGGATGATCTCTTCGACCGGCTGAGCGTAAGTGCGGTCGGGGGTGCGTGTCTGTCAGCCGTTGCGCGGAACTTGCTAAGCTCGGTGGGATGCCGCTGCGCTGTGCCGTTGGTTCGTCGTCTCGATGGTCCCGCGTCCCGCGCGCGCTACCTTAGCACCTGCCAAAGACGTGTGACAAGGGCGGACGGGCGCCTGGCCACTGGGGACGCGGGCGGCGTGTCGTCACCGTTGTCATCACACGCGTCGGCACCGGTCCTAGCTCCGTCCCTGTGCTGCAGACGATGATCCTGAACAAGCACCTGAACGAGCAGATGGAGGGCCTGACTGCCAAGGTGTTCCGCACGTACAACGCGTCACGCACGCTGCAGGAGCAGCTGGACTCGCTCACCGAGGCCGACATGACGGTCAACGAGAAGGTGAGAAGGCGGCCCCGCCCGGGCCGAGTCAGCCTCCCGTCTCCACACTTGCTCTGCGGATGGGGTCGGCGGTTGTGGCTTGCGGAACAGGCGGCCTTCGGGAGCGTTTGAGTGGCGTTTCGCTCGCTCGGTGCGTGTTGGGGTTGTTCGGTGAGCGCTCATGAAGTGCGTTTTTGTTTCTCGTGGGCGATCACCGGGCGTCCGCGCAGCCGGTGTGACAGGGTCAGCGCCGTGACAGTGTGTTCTCCCGGCAGATTCTGGCGTATAACCGCGCCAACCGAGCCGTGGCCATACTGTGTAACCACCAGCGCGCCGTGCCAAAGACGTTCGAGAAGTCGATGGAAAACCTCATGAACAAGATCGCCGAAAAGAAGGAGACGTTGGCCGAGGCGGAAAAGCAGTACAAGGCGAGTGACCTCTCGGCGTCAGGCTGCGTGCATGACCTGTGGCCCCCGACGAAATGAATTGACTTGACGGCGATCCCACTCATGCAGCATGGGCTACAGTTGTGTCGAAGAAGGTGTAAAAACTGCAGCGACTGTCCATGTTAGAAGTTCCAGCCATCGTCACAATTTTCATCTGTCCAGGCCCATGGCCAATCCCAACAGCTCGAGGAACCGTTCTTGCTCGGACCGGTACTTCCAGCGGTGTCTGTCCCGAGTCGTATGTCTCTGCCCCGAGTCGTGTGTGCACCCTTTCGCGCCGCACGGTGCTGTTTGTATTAGGATGGATGGAGCGGTTTACCGTCACAATAAAACGCGGCAAAATATCCCCAACGACCGCCTTGCTCATCGCCTTGAGCGCTACGCTGGCGACGGAACCAGCTCGCCGGCGTGCTATGTGGGGCGGTGCGCATGCGCAGACCACCCTGGCGCGTTGACTGCCGTTGGGTATTATATTTACTCTGTCTCGGGTCGCTGTGCTGTGCGAGGCTCGCAGCAGGGCTGCGTCCTCGCCCTGTGTGACGTCACCGCTCTCTGGAAGATCGGCGAGGGGGCTGGCGGCTGACCCCGGCACCGGCTCACCTGACCGGCGCGCTCTGTGTGTGCCGCAGTCGGCGAAGAAGGCCGCCAAGAGCAGCGTCAAGGAGCAGGCCGTCTGCACCCAGAAGCGGAAGGCTGTGGAGCGGATACGGGAGCAGCTCAACAAGCTGGAGCTCTCGGCCACCGACAAGGAGGAGAACAAGGAGATCGCGCTGGGCACCTCCAAGCTGAACTACCTCGACCCGCGGATCTCGGTGGCTTGGTGGGTGACCCTCTGGCCGCGCGGGGAGGGGGAGAGGGCTGGCCGCCGCCGTTTGCACTGATGACCATTGGATGAGCTCTCATAGCCGATGTGATGACACGATCCCGCTGAGCCCCGGCGGAGGCCGTTCGCCGCTCTCCGTCAGCGGCGCTCGCTCACGCGCCCGCCCGCCCTCCCACCCGCAGGTGTAAAAAGTGGGACGTACCCATTGAGAAGGTCTACAACAAGACGCAGCGCGACAAGTTCCGCTGGGCCATCGACATGGCCGGCCCCGATTTCGTTTTCTGAGCGGCGCCCAGTCGCCGCTGCGGCCTAACACCCGGACACAGGAGCCCTGGCCTAGTGAGTCTGTCGCCGTAGCCGGTGCTCCGCTCGCCCGCTCGCTGGCTGGCTGGCTCCGTGCAGTCGGCGCTTGCAACGACGGAAAGTTGCGTGATGCTGGCCGGTTCTTGTCTGCAGTTAATTATCCCATTGCGGATAGTGCGGTGGGGACGTGGGGCATGCGCCCCTGATTTGTCGTTGCCTTCGCACGCCGCCGCACTCGTGCAGACTTCCGTGATGACTATTGGATGAGCTCTCATACCCGCTGTGCTGACGCTATCCCGCTGAGATGGCGCCGCGGCCGCGGGCTGCGCCGTGCCTCTGTCCCGCCTCTGAGCCGCGCCCCGTCTCTCGCCTGCAGGGACATGGGGAGGCGACGCCAGCCGCGCGAGACGCCGCCACGCGGTCGACGGCGGCCGTCCGCACGTCTTGTGTGTATGTGTGTGTGTGCCTGTGCGGCGGCGCCAGCGTCAGGCCCGCCGCGTGAGCGCCATCTCTGGACGGGCGGCGGAACTGCCCGGCAGGCCGGTCTGGCCGCACAGGGTGCCGAGTTGAGAGACTGAGAGAGCGCGTGCGGCGGCCGAGCGGTGGGCGGGCGACGAGTGACGTGTAGGTACCAGACACAACATTTTGTGATACTTGTTTTCGCGGCCGGGGAGTAGGTGAAAGGGGCGAGCCGGGCCCGCCCTGAGCGCATGTCCGAGAAATGACTGAGCTGTATGGCACGTTAGGAACTCACTCTATTGCACCCGTATTGGTGTTTTCTGGCTGGGCCCGTGACTGTGGGAAATGTCTTCCCTGGCCGGGGATAGGCGCGGCTCGACAGCGGCGCTCCAGTTTTTTATTGTTTATTCTCCCATGGTTTGAATCCGCCGATCCTGTTCGCTGTTGTGTTGGGATTGTGATCTTGCCAGTTTCAGGAAGCATAAATTTGGACATTATTTAAAGACCAGCCCGAGCGAACACCGTACCATTTGCAGATGAACTCGGTTTCGCGAAGCGATCCCCAGTATTGGGCTTTAATAGGAAATGACCTGGTCTTTCAAGACCCAAAGCTGTTTGGCTTTGAGAGCCTGGACGGCTGTCGGAGACCGGGCGCCAGTGGACAGCGTTGCCAGCTCTTCGCGGCCGGCGCCGCCTAACCTCATCAGCATGCATCAGAGCAGATCTGTGTATACATCCGTCTCACACCGATCACTAATAAACGCCATCAACGCTGTCCGGTGGTGAATACATGCAGGCGGATGAGGCGCGCGGTTGTGGTGGAGGCTGGGTTTTCTGGACGCGCTGATTGCAATGGTCATATTGCGCCCACGTCATGAGATGATTTCCGAGATCCGTAAATCGCTGAGACTCCCACGTCTGCTAAAAATAGAAGCAGGCCCGTGGCAAGCAAGCGAGAACCGTCACCAAAACTGTCCTGACGGGGGAGAGATGGGACGTGCCGTCCGAAATGAAGCAGCCGCTTCTCGGTGAGCCGTGGACGTGACTGGACACGACTGCGCTGGTGCGCCACGGCTGCGCCCGCACGGCCTGTCCATGTTTGGGACCTCCGGACGATGAAGACGTCAGATATGAAATGCAGTTGCGGGCGCGGAGGCCCTCGGCGAGGTTACGACAGCTCGCAATGTTAGCAGTGGCATGAGTTAGCAATTTAAGCAGTGGCCAGAGCTAGCAATGTTAGTGGCGAGAGTTAGCGATGTTGGCAGCGGCAAGAGCAGTTCTCAGTAGTGATCACACGGGGTCAGGGGGTCGGCAGTGACCCGACAGCCTTGGTGTCGGACAACCGTGACTCCGTGGCGGGGCTGCCAGACACGGGGTCATAGGATCAGCAGTGACCCGACAGCCTGCGCCTGTGTCTGGCGACCGTGGCGCCCCGGCGGGACGTCGCGTCCCGTCGCGCGAAGACCGTGGTCGGGTGACGGTGGCGGCCACACGTGGCACCGGCAACCATCCCCGGGTCACGTCGGCGGGCGGCCGGGACGTCTGTCGAGGTTGCGACGGAGTAAAATAACTGGCTTTTTGCTGCGCCTGAGCTGTTTTTGCGGTGAGCTGCGCTTGGCCCCGGGCCTGCTGAGGGTGACACGGCCAAGACTGTACAACGCCACCGGAGTCAGCAAAGACGTTGAGGACGGAGGGGCTCCATGCACACATAAAGTCACAAGATTAAGTATCACACGTCAGGGGGAGCGGCCGCACTCTTGCATCATGCCATGGGCCTTCATTGGTTTCTCTTCCCGTACCTTGGGTTCCGCGAGTGTAAATTAGCAAAAATTCAATTTCTTACAATTAACGCTACTTTTTTCGAAACTTGGAAAGGGACGGGAGCCGCCTCTCCACGGAAACATGTCCGACACCGCCGCTGTTCGCCGGCTCCCCACGTTCAGCTGCTGTGTTCGCTGTGCCTCGTCGTCAGCGCTCCCAGAACAGCGGCGCAAATCAGACGGCCGTCGGTCGCGGAAGCAGCTCGACTTGGCCGCCGGTAAACCGATACGCATCTCGTTTGTTACCAGACTGTATTGCACGACAGGCTGCGACTGCCCAAGCGAAAAATATGGTAGTGCTGTCGCCACACACTGCAGCCAGCTCTCCGCCATTCTGATACCCGACGATGCCAACAGTGCACATGCTTACGGAGCCAGCCTGGAGGCCCACACTGACCGTACCAGCGGCTGGTAGTGCCACACGCGTACGCTTCGAACAGGTACAACGTCGGTCAATGTACGCATACAGGTACAGCGCCGGCCAGTGTCTGCGCACAGACACAGCACCGGCCAGTATCTGCGCACAGACACAGCGCCAGCCAGCGTCCGCGCACAGACACAGCGCCGGCCAGTGTCCGCACACAGACACAGCGCCAGCCAACGTCCGCGCACAGACACAGCGCCAGCCAGTGTCTGCACACAGCGTTAGCCAAGCGCGTCCAGACGCGGCGTACAGCAGCCTCGCCCGACGGACACTGCGCTTCGCCCGTTCATTCCGCCCTTGCCAGTTCGACCGCACTGAGAGCCGAATACTAACCCGGGGTTAGTCCACGTCGAGGGGTTACCAGTGAAGCGCCGCCGGAGGGTTTGCCCGCGTCAAGTTAAAAGCAAAGCAGGTGTCCACGTGCCCGTACATTCGCGGATCACGACCCCAACAACCAGGAACGCCTCTGCGGAGTTTGTGCGCTCAACATGTCCCGCTATGGAAAAACGGCTCATCATATCGGCCGCCGAACCACCCATGGACAACATCGTGGTCACCCTCCCGCACACACGGCGAACAAAACGCGCAGGCTTACTCCAGTTTTCGGTAGCCTTACTTGAGCGGCATCAGAACGCGCCCGAACACACGCGGCAGCCGACTGCGCCGTCTCGCAGTCCAGGGGGCTGAAAAGCGCCGCTCGCAGCCGGGGCGCCGCCGGGAGACCGGCTCCGCCTGACGGGACAAGGTGCGGCGACGACATCGCGGCAGACGCGGCGCCGCGTGACGGTGGCGCACTGTGCGCGGCGGAGCAGTGCGACGCGCGCTGCGCGAACGGACAGGCGGCGGCCGGCTCACCGGCAGTTGAGCCTGGCCGGCGGCGAGCTGGTGCCGTCCAGGCATGTGCCGGAAAACCAGCGGGTCTCTGGCAACCCAAAAGTGGATTCGGCATCCACGAGGATCCCTTTATGCCGTAGGGACTCCCGGGCGCAACGGGATCTTTCGGCAGGTTTTTGAATCGATACGGACGAGCTTTTTTCTCAAGTAATGTCAAAAGATTTAAACACAACACGCCCGAAATATTTTGGATTTCAATACGCATTCCAGAATATTTGAAATGTACCCTGAATCGGATGAATCATCTAGACAATGGATGATGCCCAAATATTTTATTTTATCAAATGGAACACCTCTTTTTTATCTAAGCAACATCAAACCTGTCAAAAATCAGGCAGAAATACGTCTCTATCAGTACTGCTGAACCTCCAAAAGCAAGCTTGTGCGAAATGCGTTTAAATGGAACGTGCGCACATCCAATAAGCGAGGACATTGGCGTGCTCGCTGGAGAAGCGATGTGGCAGTGCTACCAAGGTTGGACGTCCCCGGTACATTTGAGCCTTACAGTTTGGAAAGGGACAGCTCAACCAGACTCGACACACCATGGAGGCTTATACAAAAACCGTCCGACGTGATAGTTACTTAAAAATGTCTGACAAAACAAAACGGACCCATGGCCCAGGAAGGTTCTTCCGTAAAGCTGGGACAACGATCTCAGATTCGGAAGGATCCTCCAGCAGAATCAATCCAGGGCACCAAAGATATTTTACAAAATGCCAGAACGGATCTTGAATCCGGAGAGACCTTCAACCCCCCGACCAAGAATCCAGATGCCGTGATTTCAGGATCCACTACATCCGGCGGCGAGACTGCGAGTGCAATGTTGGATCCGTGGGACGTGGGCTCGGTGCTCGCGAACTTCGAGGGCGATGGGCGACAGCGTGGGGGGGGGGGGTCCAGCACCCTGGGATCCAGGACCCACGGTTGGAGACCACCGTCAAAGGCGGCGGAACGCGGGAAGCGCCAGAGCATGGTTGTGAGCACAATCGCCAAAGTAACCACATTTGGACATTTTCTTACCGATGCCCGTGCTCGCATGTGCCGCAGTGTCACTCCCAAACAGTAGACGCGGCGCTCACTGGCAGCGCTCGAGCCGACGAAGGCCCTCCGTCGCTGACGGCGGACCCGCCATGTGCGCGAGCGCGCTCTCCTCTCCCGAGCCCGCCCTGGCGCGCATCGGACGGCTGTCACGCCCGGCGGACCCGCCGTGTGCGCGAGCGCGCTCTCCTCTCCCGAGCCCGCCCTGGCGCGCATCGGAAGGCCCGCCATGTCCAGCGGACCGGCGGCGGGGCCGGCAGGCACGGGCCGCTCTCCGGCACCGAGAAGCCCCCCGACACGACAGCCGGCGGGCCGGCGGGCCGGCGGGCGACGGCGACAGCCAGCCAGCGGAGCGCTTAGCAGCAGCAGGCGCCCATCACGCCCCCAGCGACGAGCCAGGAGTGGCCAAAGCCAAGCCGCTCCCCGGGGCAGCACCGGAGCAGGCCGCCTCCGACAGCCCCTCACAGGGTAACGCGTGAAAGGCGTCGTGCGTTTGCCTAGTACACTACATAGACACGGCAATACGCAACCTCCGCAAGGTACGAACCCCGGCGCTACAACTGCGCAACTTATCGCACCAAAAGTGGATCACAGCAGCTGTGTATCTACAGATGGATGGAAAGAGGGGACCGAGACAGCCCGTCTGGTCCGACAGCCGCCCTCATATCTGATTGACATGGTGGACTGTGGGATGATCAGTGACATCAACATATGGTACACGCTAAAGCAGCACAACTGATCTCGCCCAGTTAGGACTCAGGAGAGCCTCGGCAGTAACACCCGATACAAGGAACCGTACGTCAACAGATAATCACCTAAAACCAAGACAGCGTATTGAGGACGGATGTTAACCCTGCAGAAAGAAACATGAGCTGGTCACTAAAACTACCACATACTTAGCGCGAAGCAAACCCCAACTCATTATGAAGCGGGGCCTGGAGGCCACCATAACTCCTTCCCACCCCACCCATCCCACCGTCGGGTAAAGCTTATGCCCGCATCCTCGACTTAAGCACGGCGACAGTAGCCAACAGTCACCCACTCCGCGTCAGGCTAGCAAGGCGTCAGCCAAGTGAGACGCCAGGCAAGCCAGGCGCCACACAAGCAAGGCGGCGTTAGATAAGCGAGGCGCCAGGCAAGGCAGGCGCCACACAAGCAGGGCGTTAGGTAAGCAAGGCGCCAGGCTAGCGAGGCGCCACACAAGCGAGACGCCGGGCAGGCGAGGCGCCAAGCATGGAAAGCGTCGCCAAGTGGCCGCTCCCCGTGCCCTCAGAGGAGCGGAGGGAGGGGGGGGGGGGGGATCGGTGAGCGGCTCAGTCCGGCGGGGTGTCCTCCTCGAGCGGCGCCAGGCGACTGGAGCTCTCCGGGTCGGGCCGGCGCCGCCTGCGCCGGGTCGCACTGGCAGCTGGTGCACATGAAGACGGGCGCGAACAGGATGAGCACGGGCGCCGCCACCACGAACACCAGGCCCACGCCGACCAGCGCACCCACCAGCTGAAAACGGGACCGGCGGTCACGACCGGGGCTGGCTCAGACACGGCGCGTGGTCGGTACATGACACGGCTAGCTCAGACAAGACGGTCATCAGTGCCACTGCTGGCTCAGACAAGACGGACGGTCAGTGTCACTGCTGGCTCAGACAAGACGGACGGTCAGTGCCACGGCTAGCTCAGCCAAGACGGACGGTCAGTGCCACGGTTAGCTCAGCCAAGACGGACGATCAGTGTCACTGCTGGCTCAGACAAGACGGACGGTCGGTGCCACGGCTAGCTCAGCCAAGGCGGACGGTCAGTGTCACTGCTAATTCAGCCAGGACGGACGGTCAGTGCCACGGCTAGCCCAGACAAAATGGACGGTCAGTGCCACGACCAGCTCAGAGGAGACGGACGGTCAGTGTCACTGCTGGCTCGGACAAGATGTATGGTCAGTGTCACTGCTAGCTCAGACGAGATGGAAGGTCAGCGTCACTGCTGGCCCAGGCACGGTATGCGGAAATGTTATCTACACCGGTCTCGCTTCGCATTTCACATTTAATGCAGAATTAATGACGTTTTTGTGCATGCTGCATTGTAAGCACCTGGCGTACATTTGTACATTTCCGATGCGTTTTTAAATTTCAGAAAGATTGCACTGTTTCTGAGGTCAGAGCAGGCCAACGATCGCACCAGTCCACAGTAAATACCAGAGGAATGTTTGCCGCAAGGTACCTCCATCGTAAAACACAAGCATTGACGTGTTTTTTTTTTGTTTTTTTTTTGGTAATGCTGATGATGGTCCCGAGTGCAGTAAGCTACTTCTCTTAAACATTTCCCGGGTGAATTTGCCACCATTTCACCGGCGGCTGGCGCCATACGGCGGCCAGGCCCGTTCGGCGCCGCACCTGGACTCTGTGCCAGACGAGCGAGCCGCGCGAGTGTCCCAACAGGTGGCGGCAAGGTCCCCGGTCGTAGTGGCGCAGGAACAGGTCACCCTGTCGGAGCGGGGCGCACGGTCACGACCGCGACACACTCACAACACGAACCGGCACGTCACACGGCCTGTGACGGCGCACAGTTCGAGGCGTAACGACTTGTGGGAGGTCGGTGACCCGCGGAGGGAACTGGGAAATATTGCTTACAGCAATCAGCGAAAATATTGCGTACAGCGATTGAGTGCCTCAAATCGTCACAATAGTGGCCAGGATACTCCAAAGTAAATGCCCAGTCAAGTGGGAAAAGTTCCTTTGAAATGCACGAGCGGACTTAGTCGTGGCCCCGATATGTCACGGCCTACAGGGCGTGCCAAATGCCAGCGCAGGCGAAACATTCCCGCCACCGCCGAGATTCGAACACGCCCTCGCGCCGCGCCGCTCCCCGGCCGCCGCCCGCAGCCGACTCACATCGAGCGACGACAGGCAGTACCAGCAGAACACATGCCGGCAGCGGCGGCACATCATCTGCGCGCAGCCGTCCTCGCGCTCGATGGGCACGGCGCAGTGCGGGCACTGTTTGACGGCGGCGCCCAGCTGCTGGCTGCCGCCCAGCAACCAACGCTCCGGCCGGCACTCGTGCAGCTCCGTGTCGAGCTCGGCGCGCGGCCGTCGGCACACGGCGCAGAACGAGCCGCCGCAGCCGCCGCAAGTGAACGGCCGCCCGCCGGCCGGAAGCGAGCAGGCCGTGTCGCAGCCGGGCCGCGGGCACCACGTGCGGCTCGGGTCACGCTCCACCTCTGCCGAGGGCGGGGCAGGGGGCGACAGGTCACAGCCGAGCCACGGGCACCACGTGCGGCTCCGGTCACGCTCCACCTCTGCCGAGGGCGGGGGGAAAGGGGGGGGGGGGTGGCGACAGGTCACAGCCAGGCCGTGGATACCACGTGCGGCTCGGATCACGCTCCACCTCTGCCGAGAGCGGGGGAGGGGGGGGGGGCGTGGCGACAGGTCACAGCCAGGCCGTGGGCACCACGTGCGGCTCGGGTCACGCTCCACCTCTGCCGAGGGCGGGGGAGGGGGGCGACAGGTTACAGCGCCGCGCACACCAGCCGTCGGGGGATTTTTAGAAATGCACGGAACTACACACAGTACGCTACCTGCTTGAGCATTTACTTTTGCTCTTCATAGACATTCGTCAACCACCGATCAACAAACAGATCACTATGGAAATCAAGTAACCATCAGACATATTTCAAGATGGGCTGACGTTATTTGGCGTTTGACGACACATTTCGCATCATCCATAAACCATAGCTGTATCTAAATGAGCAGTCCCTGTATGGACTTCACCAAACACACACTATATGTATATCAGCTTGCATAACAGAATCACTGCTTTTAATGAGGGTATATCACCTTATTGCACTTTTCATTTATGGTTACACCAGATGCCTGCAATTTTATCCGTAATATCAGTTTTCTCGAAATCCTTCTAACTAGCTCACGATTTCAATTTGGAGCAGCCGGCCCTGCTGGGGAATCTCATTTCTCTGCTCACCATTATGAAAGTAATGCCTTTTATTTACCTCACTTTTTCAACGTGTGTTCTGTAATGTTTGCAACATACTTAACTGCCGAAATGCTTGCATAATAAATGCTACGAAAGCTTAAAACACTCTGCTTAGACAAAAACATATGCGATCATAATGTTATTACTCGCGAATTCAACGAAACGTTATATTATGGCTTCGATTTCTCCTATATATCGTTAACCACAGCGGCTCTCTTGGGGGCGCGCTTTGGCTTTGAGAAAGGAAGTATCACATGATCCATGTGACGCACTGATTAAAACTACAACCAACCAATCTCCCAGCAACAGGTCGCACCAGCAGAGATGCGCACGGTGGTTGTCATGACGACAGTGCGACTGCAGGGAAGAAGAGTAGTGCTGCCGCAAAGCGTCGACAGTTTAATTTGGACAAGACAATTATTAAAATTGATGGCCTTATTATGTCTTGACGGCACTGCAGCGGCACTTCCCAGTGCTACCATTAGTCTTAAATAGTCCTAAGGTTTCACTTGCACATGCTTTTGAAATATGCCTCATAGGTGGGACACTCCCTGTAACAGTGGTCGTACAACCTATTTTCCTTCGACACAAGAGCCTCACGCAAACTCGAAGTAAACAGGACGGCAATTCCTACAGTGATACTTAAATCTGACCAGCTCGCGCGCGGGGTTATTGCCACGAGAGACAACGGGACCTAGCGTCAACAGGCCCTAACGGTGACCGCAGACGACGGCGCGAACCCCGCAGCTTCCTGCCTCCTATCGCGGCTGGACGAAGCTTTCGGTCTCCTGAAAACATACCACTCTCTTTCCAACGCAACCATGTAGGACTCTGATAGCTCCAGCTAAGGTTCGTTTGAAGTCGGAAACAAAACTGCCCACGGACCTTTTGTTCCCAAAATCTCCGGCTTGACTGTGGTACACATACTGCGTTTGATCCCAGCCCATCTGACCAGCACGGGACAGTCGTCCGGCGCGCCGGCAGACCCTCCATCGGCAGCGGCAGCGGCAGCGGCGCCGCCAGCGGCCGGCCACTGGAGCCCGCCGGTCGCCGCCTACCGTGAATGTAGGCGAGCCGCAGGTAGCGTCGGTAGGTGTGGCCGTCGCTGAGCTGACGCACCTCGTCGGCGCTGAGCCGGCCGTCGGCCGGACAGCGCGGCTCCGGACACGCCACCGTCGGCTCGCCGTTCTCCACGCACACCGCTACGTACGTCGCCATGCACTGCCGCACGAGGGAGGGGGTCAGCGACGGCTCCATGGCGACAGTCGGGCTTCAGGGCGCGTTGGCTTGCAGGTCACGCAGCACTCTATAGACAAGCCTCGGGGAAGGTCAGGGCTCTTACTGACGAGTTTCAAAGTCGCCGTGGAGCTGAGGGCCGCAGCCTTTCCCGGACTGCGCCGGCCATCGCGTCCCTGCCGCCTTGTGTGCAGTACGCAACAGAGCCTTTGCGGCCAGCTTTAGCCATCAGGCCTTCTCACGCTACTTGTTGCGGGACTGGGGAGATGGCAAACAGCCCTGGCAGCCCGTTCAAGCCTGTTACGTTCAGGTTGTCGCACAAACACGACAGTCATATTAGTCCTATTAGTCCTACCACGGGGACAGTTCTATTAGTCTTAACACGCGCCAGGGTGGCCGGTTGAATGCGAAGCGCTCGGGCGGGGGACAATTTGCTAAAAAGCTAAGAGCTAAGGGAGCTGAAAGCTAAAAAGCTAAGGGAGCTAGAGACACTAAATTCATAAGGTAGGTAGGCCTTCGGGTCAAATAACGTCAAACAAAGTCGACATCTTTTCTGAGCAAGAGGTCACTGGTGTAGATTTGAGCTCAGTGAACTTAATTAACATTCAAAAGAACAATATTACCAAAACCTTCCATATTATTTCAAAATTTGAATCAATCATGCGTCACGGTCTATACTAGTCGGCATGTTCGTAAAACAAAGGGTTGGTCGAACCGTTTTAAGACAGTCATCACCTCTGACCTTCAGTTAGACTAAATAAGATGTCTGTTGACGTCCTGTGATCAAGAAATTAAAATGAGTGTCAAAACTACCCCATCCTTTTACTTCCCCAGTAAAAAAGCGGCTTGGTTTTGACATCGATCTAGACTTCACACCTGACCTACGGCCAATGGAATCAGTACTTCTCATAACTTCTGCTGTCTACTGGTCTAAGAAAACCACCGCAAAGATGCATGGCTTCGTCTAACGCTCCGTTGTCGCATCAGACTGGATGCTTTGCTAGGAGTCGCCTTCGCTGACAGCCATGGTGTCACCTTGTCCTGCCTTAGATCAGCAGGGTACGGGGTACAGGGTACAGCAGGGTACGGGGTACAGGGTACAGCAGGGTACGGGGTACAGGGTACAGCAGGGTACAGGGTACCTACAGGGTAACTTGATACATACGAAACAATCAGCTATGAAATCCCCCACAGCTATACCGAATTTGGCACGGCTACCCTGCGTCGTTCAGAAGTTATTCTGGAAAAACCCGCGGGGTGCAGGGGAACCGGGTAAATGGACCACCAACCGAGAGCGCGTGCTAAGAATCATAACGCTAAGTTGGCACAAAGCCATCAACCATGCGCTAGCGCATCTGGCCGAAATGAAAGCAATTATAGATGGTATTGAAATGCCAGGACCACATACGTCGCATTGGAATACCAGGACGAGCCAGAAAGCGACGTGAATTATATAACAGCACAGCCAGGCAAATGGGGGGGGGGGGGGGGCGTCGAGCTGCGGCAAAGAACTACATGGTATGTACGTGAAAACGAAATGAAACGAATCAAATCCATCCACAAAACAACTATTCAGAACCCGTTTATGAACCGCAGCAACAAGCACAGGCCAAAGTCAAACCAACACGTCACCAGACAACACGACAAGAGCCCCAGACCGCCTCACCACAAAAACGGACAAGGCCGGGGCTTGCACGGTGGTATCTGTTATCAGTGCCCAGTGCAGACGCTGCACAACTGACCGCAGCTGAGCTGGGCAGCAGCGCCCCCTTCACACGCCAGTGAACCACCCCATCGCGTCTCGGGGCTTCTTCCCTCTGACCCGTTAACGCGACGCGCGCACGCTGCCGGGGCAAACATTCCGTGCGTTCGATCCGAAGCAAGCCCCTCCCGTATTCGCACGCGCACTCAGCCTCCACCCCTCTGCGCGCACCGAGCACCTTCTTCGGCTGCGAACACCCAGACCTCGTCCCTCCATGCGCACTCAGCTGGCTTCACCAGAAGCATACGGGGTCCGTCTCTCCATGCGTACTCAGCTGGCTTCACCAGAAGCATACGGGGTCCGTCTTTCCATGCGTTCTCAGCTGGCTCCACCAGAAGCATACGGGGCCCACCTCTCTACAGACATACGGCGACCTTGTACCTTGCAGTGTTTGTGTCATCACTCCGCAAATATCTAGCCCGTCCCCTCCAAAGCCAACCAGCCGTTCCTCTAAGCTGCCTCGTTCTCCGCCCAAATCCACACTGTCAGCCCACCCCCGCCCATCCACCTTGTCTCTCCGTCACCACTCCGCCTGGTTATTCTCGCCACCTCATCCCTCCCCGACCACCCACCCCCGTCCCGCGCGCACCGCCAGTTCCCCCTCTCAGCCCCCCCCATCCCGCGCGCACCGCTAACCCCCCTCTCGGCTCCCCGTCCCGCGCGCACCGCCAGCTCCCTCTCTCGACTCCCCGCCCCGCGCGCACCACCAGCTCCCCCTCCCGGCTCCCCGTCCCGCACGCACCACCAGCTCCCCCTCTCGGCTCCCCGTCCCGCACGCGCCGCCAGCCTCCGTTTCGACTCGCCGTTCCGCGCGCACCGCCAGTTCCCCCTCGGCTCCCCGCCCTGCGCACACCGCCAGCTCCCCTCTCGGCTCTCCGCCCTGCGCGCGCCGCCAGCTCCCCTTTCGGCTCTCCGCCCTGCGCGCACCGCCAGCTCCCTCTCGGCTCCCCACCCGCCGCCACGCCTCACCTCGCGGCAGAAGCGGCAGCCACAGGCCCGCAGGCGCAGCAGCTCGGCGGCCGGCACCTCGGCCAAGCAGACGCGACAGGTGGCCAGCCGCGCCGGCGGCAGCTGCAGCGCGCGCCGGCTGCCGCAGCGGCTGCAGCTGGGCCGCTGGCGCGCCTGCTCCAGGCTGCTGAGCGTCACGGCGTGCCGCAGTGACGGCCGACACACGGTGACGGCCGGCGCCAGCGAGGCGCGCGACGGCGCCAGAGAGCGCAGTAGGCGTCCCGGCGCGCCACTGTCTCGGCGTTCCTGCACGGGAGACGGAGACAAAGACGGTTAAAACTCCCGAATTGGGGGGGGGGGGGGGGCGGCAAGGGTTGTTAGTCCCATTTCTCTATTTCTGCATGCTTTTCCGACACCCTGGGGTAGTCACTCTGCATGCCGGTCGAGGGCGGTCGCACGGCGCGTCGGACTGGCGTCCGTGCACGACCCCGGCGTCGCCCGTGGGCGGAGGGGGGGGGGGGGAGCTGTCGCCGGGGGTGACGCGATAGCCTTCGGGGACGTCTGGATGAGCGGCCGTCCGTCCGCCCGTCCGGCCGGACGCCAGCGCGCGGCACAGCGGGAATACCGGGAGGCCGGCTGCCAGCCGCTCCAGGGAGCGTTGCGCCCCAGTGTAAGACAGCGGACACTGCGGGGTCGGATCCCAGCAGAGACGCCCCTTCTTCACAACGGGAGCCTTACAGAGAGGGCCGTCGCCGCTGTTCAGATCCCGCGTTTCCGGGACAAATATTCTACGCCTGCACGCATGCCCACCACACGCTCTCACAACGGGAGCCAAGTCGTTCCGATCTGTACTGATCCCGTCTACAGTGACCATTCGACAGTTTTCGGTGTGCTTATCGTCAGCATTCAGTTTGCTTCGTCATTCGCTGCCATTTGGCATGACGGCCCATCGCCACTCGTGAACTGCAATGTTTCCATTACTGAGACTCCTCACTGAACTGGCTTGTCTTGCATCTGTCTGCCAGGCTACAGAGGGCTGCTGTGAAAAAAGACTTCCAGTGGAAATCGACGGTGTCCGGTGTTCTGGAGGGATCCCTTCGGTCTCCGCTTCTCTTTTCTCTGTCTACTAACGACTTAATCCTGACCTGCTGCCGTGCGCGTGACAGCGTGTGCCGGCTGCCTCCCGGATAACCCGGCTGCCCTCCACATGACCCGCCTGCCTCCCGCGCGGCCCGGCTGTCCTCTGCCCGCCAGTGATGCCAAAACTGTCCGCGAAGTTACATCCCCCGCTGACGGACTGACGTTGCCGCATGGCTCTGCATGATCGTCTGGTTACACAGCCCGTCAGACGGGCATTCATGTGGCAATAAACTAAGTGCAAATTATTCACTAGGCAAAAAGCATCGTCCGTATTAAGTATACATATATATATATATATATATATATATATATATATATATATATATACATATATAGTAAAGAAAGGCACGTCCAAGGAACCGGTGAATTGGGTGTCCTTGGACCCAAAGCCACATTGCCAGCATCTGGCCTCTTCATGTAACTTTTCCAATAGTTTGCAGCGGGCGTAAATTTAACCCAGAAACGATCATGCGCACGCGTAAGCTGCCAATCTCATCGCCACGGGACTTCTTCAAACAATGCTTTCGAGCTATTTCCAGCAGGTCAATATTTAACCCTGGACGATCACCCCGGCCAAGATTCGACCCCGACTCCCATTCACTGCGGGCTGGTCAGGCGCAGTACTCAGATTCGGATCACACCACTGGCCTCACGCTCCATGTTACTGACCCGCCACATCCTATCCCGTGTCGTTTCAATATCCCGTATGTGGTTCGAAGATCAGTGCTGCCATATCCTTGGCAGCGTCCCGACTGATCCGGATTGCCGTGTTAACGCGTGTGTTGTTTACAGTGTTGTCGACTGTTTTCCATCGCGTCACCAGAGACTGCAAGACTTTGACAACTCAACCAAACTGGTTTGAACGTTACACGAGCCTCAGATTTTCGATGCCAGTTCTGGGGCGCCCGGGTCCCGCCTTTGAATATATCACGTTAACAGCACCCAACCGCTATCATGTTCATTCAGTTTTGTTATTTGTATATTTCATTACCCTGTACCGTCAGCATAAGTGTTTTGCGAAGCGACACCGTCTGTTGCTGGGGCCGTACGCTGATACCTAGAAATCAAATAAATAACTGATTGGACGGCAGGTTCAAGGTCTCACGCCAAGCTCTGGTGCTCAAGAAACAAAGGATATGCTCAATTACAACGCAGGTAACAAAGCTGAACGAATGACGCAACGAGCATCATCTTGCGCAATCACATTTGGCCCGAGCCCAAGACGGCGTGACCGCCACCGGCGCGTATCGCCACCATCACCATCACAATCACGGAGCTATGCAGGTGGAAACGTGAGCTGTCGCCTGCCACCGAGTACATTGTCCCACCGTGTCACTGATCGGTAGTGTCAGTGTCGGCAGTGAACACTGATCAGCAGTGTCAGTGTCAGTGTCGGCAGCGAAGACTGATCGGCAGTGTCAGAGCATGTCAGTGTCCTGTAGCGTCACAGCCGGATCACTGACACCAACCGACCACGTCACAGTTACGTCACTGACACCAAGCGACTGCGTCATATCTGCGTCACTGACACTAACCGACCGCACCACAGCTGCGTCACTGACACCAACCGGCTACGTCACAGTTACGTCACTGACACCAACCGACCACATCACAGCTGCGTCACTGACACCAACCGGCTACGTCACAGTTACGTCACTGACACCAACCGACCACATCATAGCTACGTCACTGACACCAACTGCACACGTCTGTTACGTCACTGACACCAACCGACCACGTCATAGCTGCGTCACTGACACCAATTGAACACGTCTGTTACGTCACTGGCACCAACCAACCGACCACGTCTGTTACGTCACTGACACCAACCACCCATAGTCTGTTAGGTCACTGACACCAACCGACCACATCACAGCTGCATCGCTGACACCAACCGACCGCGTCGCAGCCACGCTACTGATACCAACAACTGCGTCATAGCTATGTCACTGACACTGACAAACAGGTAAACAACTGTGTCACAATAACCATCAGTATGACAAACTACCACCACACCCTGTAGCATCTTTTCTATTTGGCATTATTTGTAAAATAAAAGAAAGCGCGACGTACATCGTTGCGCACCTATCACGGAGCCACGGCGCGCGCAGAGACAAAGCGACGCTCGGGGACCAGAGCGCGACCCGGACCGGAGTCCTGACCTCCCCGGGGGGGGGGGGGGGCGAGGTCATCAGCCGCTGGCCGAACGTCACAACTCGACCCCCTCCAGCGCCCTGCAGCCTCGCGGCCGGTCACGCTGACCCGGAGCGTCACATCGCACCACGGCGCCCTCGTCACACACGCACTGACCTGCAGCGTGACGGCCGTGTCGCACTTGCGCAGCAGATGACAGCGAGCCGGCGCGGGCGGCGCGGCCAGCGCGCCCGGCACGGGGCCCGCCACATCGATCGCAGGAGGTGCCAGCTCCACTGGCTCCACGGCCGCTGGTAGCGAGGACAGCAGCGACTGCCGCACCGGCATCCCCTGGCGGCGGGGCGGCACACAACGGCGTCACAACGGCGTCACCTGGCGGCGGCGCGGCACACAACGGCGTCACAACGGCGTCACCTGACGGCAGGGCGACACACAACGGCGTCACAACGGCGTCACCTGGCGGCGGGGCAGCACACAACGGCATGCTGATGAAGCAGCCTTTGCACACATCTATTTCAGTCAGTTTTGCAAATAATCTCACCTGCTTTGTTTCTCACGTTTGTTTAGAATAACATGATTTTCAGTGAGAAACTTTGCTCACACTCAAGTTACCATGCAGTGCCAGGGCAAAAAAGCAGGAATTATGATGATTTAAAGCAAGAAAAGGTCCTGAATTCATTGTTTGACATTGCTCATTGTTATGTTGACGATCATTTAGCTTTCAGCATAACAGAAGTCATTAAATAAGTGGCAACAAACAATGTTTGGAATACATCATGATAACATGTCATGGCAGTGCCCATTTTACATTTACAAAATAGCAATTTACAGGAGCTCAGAATGCCAAGACCACTAGTATGATTTTTCTTCTTTGACGATTATCCCCCCCCCCCCACACTATTGACAGGATGGATTTCTGGGATCGGAGCCCACGCCAAGCAATGCTTGCGTGACCTCATCCAATTGTGACCTCAGGCCAAACCATCCAATCTGAAATGCCAAGTCAATGGCAGACTTCTGTGGCAGAAGTTTAATGTGCTGTGCTGCCAGGACAGTCCATCCTAACCTTTCAAGTCACAATGCCTTTCACACAGCCCCTGGCTATCTCAGTCAGCGGCAAATAATGGGCACTTGGTGACTCAGCCCACCCCACCATAGACACACAAATTCTAAGGCAGATTCTCTAACCAACTAAGCCACTGGCACAGATCTGGTGTGCTACATAGTTTTCTAATTTTGTATTTCTTTTGATCAACTTCCTCCATGAAAAATACATGCCAGAGCCACCATGGAAACACCACATGGGACTACTTGCATCACCTGGGTAATACACAGGCAGATTGTTTGCAGCACTATTCCAACACACAAAGAAATCTCTTAACAAAAAGAAATGTTCCAGCTCAATGAGGAGAGTAAGCCTCAGTGATCAATGTGGTTCAATGATACTTTGGTAACCCCAACCCATTCAATCTGCATGCAATTACACCAGCCTTGCCTCACCTTATGATAATCAGAAATTCAAAGGCTATCTGGCTGGCATCAATCCTTGTCTTTTCATTTCCAGGTAATAAAACAATCTTCTTTAGGGTGTATAAAGTGTGGAATGCCATATGTGTCAGCCCACTATGCATGGAGCCTAGATTGTCAGCCTCAACTGATGTTAATGACACTACTGCTAATAGGAGAATGCTCCAGTGATTCACAATTTGACAATGCTGGCAATTATATTTATTTCATTTCATTTAAATATTGTAAGTAATACAAATCATCAACATACCACAAATATTTATGCTTAAGTAGCAGAGTGGAAAGAGCAAAAACAACACTAAATGGTATGCGAATGTCACACTATTAACTTAATTTCTTACTGAAAATAGGCAGAACTATGTTGGCCTACTTACACAAGTTGGATGGCAACAGACTACACTTGGCCATATTAAAAAAACAGTATCTGCTAGTATGGACTACGTTGCCCAATTTGAAGTTCATGTTTAGAGCTGAGTGAAACAAAATTTATTTTGTACAGTTAATCAAGTTTTTTCCACTCATCCTGACCACCTGCACATCTGCTTGATTTTGCATAACATGCACTCCATGGAATTATTAGTCACAGTTTCTCACACAGTTGTTCTAAAATAGCATGAAAAGCCATACAAAGATTTATGTCGCAATCAAAAGCCTGTTTTTCACAGATAATTTTTAACAGCTCAGATTTCACATGGCTTTGAATTCAGAGCCAGCTGAAAAATGTGTGCTGCCATACATATGGCATGCAGTGCCCATTGATGCCAATGCAATGATCAGAACACTAATGTCAAGTATTCTCAACATGTTGAAATCAGTAGACAATAGCAACTATCCACTCCTAAGTTTTGTTCTTCTCTTAAATCACTTGTTCCACATCAAGTACCTCCACACAGTCAATCAAAGCCACACTACATGCATCTCATTCCATACAAACACTTAACTAAACCTGTGACATATCTATGCACACTTAATCTACTCAACTCAGTAGTTTGTGCAATATATTTAAAGAAGTTTTAGTCCCTGAAATACCTGAATATGGTACATGTTTTTCATTAACCTTTCCTTCCATTAAGAATACAATACAATTCCATTGGTTAATGTGATCAATACCATCTTTTGTTAGCATTTCAGTATTAAAATACAAAATAATTCATGCATATTTCTCTCAGGATCCCTCTGAAAGTCAGAGAAAATGACAACTCAGCACTATTTTTGGCAGCTTTGTACTCAAGGCACACCACAACATACACTTGAATTTATCAATAAAGATCAACATCCTTTTCTTAGAAAATATAATTCAGAAGATTGCACCACACAGCAGATGGTACATACTTTCCAGCTGTCAAATTACAGGGCAAGAGGTGTGCAGCTAGCAGGTTTTTACAGCAAGTATGATGCAGACCAATTATACTCTCCCTTGCTTTGTCCCCTTTATGTGTCAGCAGTGTGTGCTGAACTGGGGGTACACATGTGGCCTGAAAAACTAGCAGATTATACATCCACACAGTGTGTCACATAATGGACATGTGCACCAGGCATCATTGACTAACAGTATTAATGACTGATTTTTTGACTGGTGTATATGTGGTGACTGGTAACTGATGTTATGTTTTGTACTTGCACTTGACTTGTAAAATGACCCATAAAAAGAACCACATGGCACATTTGCAATGTGGCATTTTGGAGCTCGCGCACACTGATACCAGCTTGCGAGAATACATCCACCCCACAGGATGCCTGTGCAACATCAGTGTCCAAACTTAAGGCTTCAGTGCACCAAACTCCAGCTGGGCCTAAGTGTGCTCATCATTCAGTGCAAAAACAAAAATATTTTTGCCCCATCTTTGCATGATCCTTATCTTTGTAGCATCATAACTTCTGGAATTATTTGCTCTCACACACTGAGCTTGGTGGCTACCATGCACCAGGAGCACCAAATTTTGGGCCAGATGTGCTGAAATTGATGCAAGAAGCTGCTACACAAGGTGTGTTTGGCA